CACAGAACTGGGCTAGTTCCTCCCTCCCTCCCTCCCTCCCTCCTTCCCTCCCTCCCTCCCTCCCTCCCTCCCTCCCTCCCTCCCTCCCTCCCTCCCTCCTTCCTTCCTTCCTTCCTTCCTCTAGCGAACTCTTCACAGAACTGGGTAAGTTTCTTTCTTTTAATATATTTTATTGATTTTTTACAGAGAGGAAGAGAGAGGGATAGAGAGCTAGAAACATCGATGAGAGAGAAACACTGACCAGCTGCCTCCTGCACATCCCACACTGGGGATGTGCCTGCAACCAATGTACATGCCCTTGACCGGAATCGAACCTGGGACCTTTCAGTCTGCAGGCCGACGCTCTATCCACTGAGCCAAACCAGTTTCGGCAAGCTGGATAAGTTTCTGCTCAGCTATGGCCGAATCTCCAAAATGGGAATTTTATCGCGGTTTCAATGGGATGTTTTTGTTATAAAGTACGTGCTGCTGAGCCGCCTTCCTCTTCTGCATCGGGTGGTCTTGACGGAAAGTAGACTGACGTGTAGACAAAGGCACCAGAGCTGGGTTAGGTTCCCACAATCCATTTACCAACCACGCATTAGGCGCCGCTGACGCTGGCGTGTTGGGAGGACACAGAGGCGACAACAGAAGACACCTGCCCCCTGGGAGCTCACAGGCTGGCGGGACAGTAACACAAAGACAAAGTGTGTGCTAGCCAGGCCTCAGCGGAGGGAGCTGCTCCTGCAGTGGGGGTTGTGCACACCCGGCGCCTGTCCGTGGGGGGCCTGTCAGGTGCCAGACATGGTGCCAGGACTGGGGAAACCCCAGGAACAAGCCAGACATGGCCCTGCCCTCACGGAGCTTCCAGTCTAGCAAAAAGACAAGCCAGGAGCAGGGAACTACAGTCCAGTGTAGAGGTGGCAGGCTTGGGAGCGGATAGAGATTTGGTATCATACACACACTTCACTTAGGCAAACACTACGCCATTTGTCTGGGGAGAAGAGACAAGGAAAAGGGGAAATAATTTTAAGTCTTTGGCCCATTCGCTGCCTTCCACTCACCCTGCAGCGGCCAGGAGGGTTGGTGACGCGCTCAAGCTCTGTGCTCCTGTGGCCTCTCAGCTCCCAAGAGCCTCTTCTCACCCGAGTGGGACTGTGACACCCGAGGAAGTGTCTTTCACGTAGCATGGCCCACAGACCAGACACTTCACCTGGGGCTCCGCCAAAGGAGCCGTGGCCTGTTTCCACACAGGCAGGAGCAACTGCACTCACTATGGACCTCCTGGTGCTGGCCTTCAACTCAGCACGCCCTCGGGTTTCCAAGAGGAACTGTGGTTACACGCCATGTTCCCCTGGGCATGACCGTCTACTCTAACCCTGGAGTGAGCCAAGACTTCCACATGGCAGTCCCGTGAGGCACAAAACATGGACCCAGACCCTGGCTCTGGGAGCTGGGAGAGCCTCATGGGGGAGGGGAGGGGGGAGAGGGCGGGAGGGTTTGCTAAGTCCTTGAGCATGAGGGAAAAGAGAAGGCCAGGCAGGAGGGGACAGGTGGGAGGGGAGGGTGCAGTGCGGGAGACAGCTCTGAGCAGAGCCTGGAAGGCTGGGAAGACAGCGATGAGCCCAGGGAAGTAGTGAGCAGAGGGCAGGGGCGGGCGGGCCAACAGGCCAGAAACTCTGCCAGAGAGCAGGTCTTGACCAGCCGTGTGAGTATCGGAGGAGTTTGGGATTTATTCCAAGGGCAATGGTGACGCTTAGGAAAAGGTCTTCACAGAGAAATAACAGAAACTCATCCTGAAGCACATGAAAAGGTAGCCGACATCCATAGTCATCAGGGAAATGCAAATCAAAACCGCAAGATACCAATTTATATCAGAAAAGTTGCTGTCAAAGATGTAGAAAAATTGGAACGCTTGTATATTGCTGGGGAGGACGGAGGGATGAAAAATGATGTAACCACTTGGGAAAACAGCCTGGCAGTTCTCCAAAAGGTGAAAGACAGAGTTATAATATGACCCAGCAATCCCACTTCCAGGTATACAACCCAGGAGTAATGAAAACATATTCCACATAAATCTTGTACATAGCCGAAACCGGTTTGGCTCAGTGGTAGAGTGTTGGTCTGCGAACTGAAAAGTCCCAGGTTCGATTCTGGTCAAGGGCATGTACGTTGGTTGCGGGCACATCCCTGGTAGGGGGTGTGCAAGAGCAAGCTGGTCGATGTTTCTCTTTCATCAATGTTTCTAGCTCTCTATCTCTCTCCCTTCCTCTCTGTAAGAAATCAATAAAATATATTTTTAAAAAAATTGTATATAAATGTTCATAGGAGCACTATTCAGAGTAGTCTCCGAGCATAAACAACCCAAATGTCCGTTAACAGGTGAACAGATAAATAAAACGTGGCACAGCCATACAATGGAACATTATTCAGCAACAGAAAGAAATAAAGTCCTGATACATGCTACAACATGGATGAAACATGAAAATATGTTTAGTGAAAGAAGCCAGTCACAAATTATACAAAGTAATATGATTCCATTTATATGACATGTGCAGAATAGGAAAATCCATAGCGACAGAAACAGTGGTTTGCCGGCGGGGGGAGGGGGCAGGGGGCGGGGTGCGGGGTGCGGGGTGCGGGGACAGGGAATGAGGAGTGACTGCTAATGGTACAAGTATTCTTTCTAGTGATGCAATATTCTAAAACTGAGTATGATGATGGCTGCACGTCTCTGTGACCATACAGAAAGCCACTGACGTGTACGGTACATAAATTCTGTATCAGTAAACTGCTAACAACAAGAGTTCACCCTGGGGATGGTGCAGAACGGAGAGGGAGAGCCGAGGCAGAGACCAGGGAGGAGCTGCTCTGGAGTGCAGCGGGAGGCAGTGGCTGAACTTCGGGGAGGGTAGGAAGGAGCTGAACTAGACGAGGCCAGGCGAGGACAGTTTACATCTGCGGAGCCTCTCTAAGTTCCCCTGGGTAGCTGGTACCTCTCCCAAGAGGTAGAGAGGGAAACAAATGAGGTATCTAATTATCAACAAGCAGCATAAATGTATTTAAAATCTTATACGTATAAAGACGAAGAGAAATGTGAGAAGTGGGTAGTCCTGCTGCCCACGTCCATGAAGAGTGCCACGCGCAAGAGCCCACTGAGCTCCCGCGAGGGGACTGTCCTGTCCGTCCTCACTCCCAAACTCCACAGGGAGGGCTGAGCACTCGGGGCACGGCGAACATATCGCACAATCTGAGGATCTGAGCACAGGCTGGAGAGCAAGAGGAGCTGAGACCAACAACTTTCAGAAACACACTGAAAAGCTTTTAAGATCCTTTTCTGGGTTCTGTGTGGTTGTGGGAATTGCCAAGCTGCTGAAGTAAGTGGGCACTTTTCTTGGTTAAATCAAAGACCTGGTTTTGACTACAAACCACTGCTCACCTGAAAGTCTCCCCTGCACCACTGCTGGGAAGCGCAAAGGAAAACCGAGGAGGGGCCTTTTCTGAACACTCCACAGACCTTGTCAGTCGGGGCCCTGGCCACTAAGACTCTGTCCTACCCAGAGCCTGGAATGGATGGCGTAAGTCCCTGTCCACCACCTCACGCACAACCTCAGTTGACTCCCTGACTCTTCCCCCGCCTACAACAGAAACCAGTGCTGGCCAGCTTACTGCAGCCATAACTGGGGCAAAAAGTCAAACACCACTGAGACACACCAACAAAGCCAGAGCTCTGGTTCCAGCCCATTCATTTGATATTAATAAATGAGGAAGCCAGGGCCCCCACTCATGGAACACAGCCAGGGGTGGCGCCCGGTCTCTGACTCTCAGGGCCTCATATTTCTCACTCGATCAACTCCCAAACCCCCTCAAGAACCTGGCTCTCAGTGTGCTTCAAAGCAAGAGGAGCTGAGAACCTCAGCAACCTTAGGTTTCAGCTGGCAGAGAAGCCTAAACTATCTCTTTCTCGGAACCCTATGAGGAAGGTGAAACGTATCATGGCCTGTTGTCCTAATCTTTCTGAAGGGAGAGAAAAAAGCAGGTAAAGCAACAAAAAACGGACAACGCAGGCTCTGCTGCAGCCTCACGTCCCACGGCCCTTCCCGTGATTAACCACAGCGCTCGGCACTCGGCCAGCTCTCCGGGGAACACTAATGAGCTCGGCCACAGACGAGGAGGGGCTCCAGAATGCAGGGCTGCCCGGCACTGGGGCGCTCCAGGCAGGTGGGGAGCTGTGACATCACAAAAGGGACAAAGCTCACTCTCCCTAGCTCCCAAGTGCTGGTGGACTGAAGTGAAACACCCTTTTTACGCTGCAGAGGAATGCAAACATTAAATACTTCAAAACAGACATCAGACAGGAAAACAAATTAATCTACTGCCTTTTAGTTAAAACAATCGAACAAGTACTAGAGATAAATGAACTGAAACTTCTATCACTAAGCCATTTGCCAGTTTTGAAGATGTCTCCAGGTGCCAGAAAACAGGTCAATGCATCACTGCTAAGGGGACAATGAACAGGACCCCATCTCGGACGGGGGGTATTTTTCCTGCAGTGGCCAAAGGCAAGCTGAACTCTATGTACAATTAGGATCATTTAAAAATAATGAGACTCCTCTCTTTGCCTTCTTCCAAAGTATATAATATATATTTAACAGCACATTAGACACCACTTGAGCTTCCCTGGTAGCCAACAGGAAGTATTTTTCACATATAAAAATTAAAAATTTAAACCCTAAATCATTAATATTTTTAAAACATAATACAGACTTAGAAATTGTTCAACTTGACCCCATGACCCCACCCCTAGCACAAAAAAAATCCATCCCAAATCCAGAAGTCACAGTTTTTGTTCCTAAAAATCGCCCAGTACTGAACTTGATCTTCACGGCAAGCCGACTGCTAACAAGAGGTCCCCAACAGGCATCTCCGGGAGGAGCGGAAGCATGGCCGACGTGGTGTCTGGGATCTACCTGGGCAGCGCTGGCGCACCTGAGGTCAGGTCCGTGGGATTCGGCCCCACACTAGGGTCCTGGAAGAGTGAGCTGGCCGCTTCCCTCATCTTCCCCCTCGAAGGCTGTCCAATAAGCACCTGGGAATTGACTTTTCTTGGGAAAAGGGTGCTGGTAACAGCTGTCAGGGCCAAGGCAATAGTGAGAAGTTCAGTTCTCTGCTCTTTGGATGAACTGTGTAAAACATTTTTTTTTTTTTTTAAAAGACACAATGTTAAAAATATTAAGAAAAACATCTACAAAATCTGGAGGGCTGCCTTTTTCTCAAAGGGTAAAGCTTGTGGGGTGGTAGGAAAAAAAATCGAGGGCCCAGAACTCTTAATTCTGCAGCAAAAGATAGACAGATGCCCTTCAAACGTGTCACATTCTTAAGAGGTCTTGCTAAAGCAGCAAGTGCTGAGGGTGACGGTCTGAGTAAAAGCGGGGGCACCAGCTCCTGCAGGGGACGCTCTACTGCGCACCCACCCTGCGCAAGAATGTCAGGCTCTAGGGCAGCCGCCATCGGCCCCCAGGGCATCAGGACTCTGCCTCTGAACCAGAGCTGCTTTCCCGACTAACTTCAATCTGGAGAGATGGTAAGTGATCTAACCGGCTCTTCTTTTGGCGAGACTGTTCTTTCTCCTTAATCAGAGCCCCCCACGCCCTTTGCAGCTCCGAGTCATCTTCCTCAGCGCCGGGAGCCCTATGATCCACTTTCTTCGTGTTCTTTTCTTTGGTCTTGGATGCAGATCCTAAGCGAGTCCATAAGCTACCTGTTTGAATGAGAAGGCATCTTAGTTTTGGTAGTCAATGCTGAGAAGCAGGGTAGTACTGAGGCAGCAGGGGTACTGCCGACTCCTGATGAGTAGGCAACAGTGGTGGTGGGGGGAGGGGGAAGGGTCTGTGGCACTTGCAACCGCTATGCAGCCTCGCACAGGTAATCTCATCTCCCTGGCTGCAACCCCCTGCCTGCAAACCGAGGGATCTGGACCCACGGGAAGATTCTCACGCCAAGGCACATGTGCCTCCATGCTGAGCCTATGAGAATCACCAGGGAGTCTCTGCTACACCTGCCCCCTCCCTGGTAGAACTCACCGCCCGGTGCCCAGCTGCATTCTGCCAGGAGTGGGCCATCCCCAGATCAACGTTCTACAAACTGATGGGCCTGCATCACTGCCAACTTTTAGAGATTCTGCCCACCCCCCATCAATTTTAAAAATACACTTTATCAATATCTAATAATAGAGAAATATGTTTAGAATTTCATAGTATAGCCACACTATAAGGCAATTAAGTTTTATTTATAAAGAATATAACCATGCAGAAAAGTGACTCTGGTGAAATACTATATGAAAAGGTAGGACACATATATGGACAAAGACGGGAATAGCATACATGAAACTAAAAAGTTTTTGTGCTAAACTGAAAGGACCAAAGATGGGTCTTTTTATCTATTTACTAAAATGTCCATATTACTACCATTATTATTGTCGTTATTACAATTATTATGGAAGAAAAAAAATATTTTTGGCACCTGCTATTTACTGCCCTCTGCTAACAAAACATTTCAATGCTTCACCCACTGTCCTTGCTCTTCTTACCCAATCCCGTCCCCTCGTGTTCAGTGTCACCGACCTGACTTCTTCTCCCGGGTGTCCGAATACAGGCCTTTAATGTCCTGCCTGGGAACACCGAGCCGACTGTGCACATCGGAAAAGGGCTCTCTCCGGACAGCGGGGCTACAGGCCTTTTCTGGAGAATGTGGTCTTTTTCCCAACCGCTGGCGAATATCTGGGGGGAAAGTACTGCTGTTACCACGTGTGTGTGCTTTGCTCTCTGTATTGTCAACCTGAGATCCTCACAGGACCTGGTCCAGATCTCCCCGATGAGGACAAAGGGCCCACACACCAGCTTCTCAACATCTCTCTATGCCAGTGATTTTCTTTCTTTCTTTTTCCTTTTAAATATATTTCTTTATTGATTTCAGAGAGGAAGTGAGAAGGAGAGATAGAAACATCAATGATGAGAGAGAATCACTGATCGCTGCCTCCTGCACACCCCCGACTGGGGATCGAGTCCGCAACCCAGGCATGTACCGTTGGCCAGAATCGAACCTGGGACCCTTCAGTCCGAAGGCCGACGCTCTATCCACTGAGCCAAGCTGGCTAGGGCTATGCCAGTGATTTCCAACCTTTTTCATCTCATGGCACACATAAGCTAATTACTAAAGTTCTGAGGCAGACCAAAAAAAGTTATAATTTTGATTCATCCACATGTGACAACATGTTGGCTGTTGTCGTTCTTTTATTTGACAGTCTAAGAGAAAAGAGGTCAGTGCCCCCGACTAAATAGTCAGGTACTGCATATTTTAAAAATTCTTGCGGCACACCGGTTGAAAATGGCTGCTGTATGTAATATAGATTTCCTTAGGAAAATTCAGATGTAAGGGTTCCCAGTGGGTGAGAGGGGGATGGGGTGGGGGGGTTTCTCAGCTGACTGCTCCAGAAAGGAATTTCTGAGACATAATCAACTATCTTTTTTTTTTTTTTTTTTAAAGCAGACCAAATGATTGACAAACATTTTAGTTAAGAAGCAATAATTCAAAAGCCAAGGGCAGAAGTCACAATCTTTGAACATAGAAGTTTTCAATAAACTTATTACACTTAACAATAAATGTAATGAGAGTGGTGAAAACAAAAGATTAAGAGAAGATGTCCCAAGTCAGATTCGTTCTTCCTCTACACCCCCTTCCACCCCGGAACCTGCCTTTCCTCCTGAGCTCCTTCTAACAGTAACACAATAACAGCAACAACACCACCTCTGTCAGCAAGTCACTGTGCTGGGCTCTCACCACCTCGCTTATTCTCGGAGAGCAGCACCCAGCATCCCAGTCCCTTTGGCTGGGCCCCTGGCTTCCTTTCTTCCCTCACATCCCAGTGCTGCACAAGGTTTGACATTCTTGTCCACTGCCTCTGTGGTCCCTGACCACAAATTCTTATTGAACTTATAAGTAAATAAAATACAATAATTTCTATTATCCTTACATATAAGAAAATACCAATGATTGTGAGTGTCAACTTATAAACTAGGAGGTCACAGTTCGATTCCCAGTCAGGGCACATGCCCAGGTTGCGGACTTGATCCCCAGTGTGAGGCTTGCAGGAGGCAGACGATCAATGATTCTCTCTCATCATTGATGTTTCAGTCTTTCCCTCTCGTTTCCTCTGAAGTCAAGAAAAATATATTTTAAAAAATACCAATGACATACGTAGTAAAATAATCGTTAGGTTCAAAAATACTGAAAGCTCGTATTGAAAAGTCGGATTATTTTTCATGTCCTGAAATCGAATGCCTAATCCAAAATTTAGAAGTAGTGAACCAGAACAACAAAATCCATCCACAAATGACATCTTTTAATCTAAAACCCTATCCCTGCCCATTTGCCTCTGGAGCTCAGAATGAAGCCCAGACACAGGACTGAACAATACCTGATTTAGTGCTGCTGCTGCCTGATGGCCGTGGGCGTGTGTGCTGACGTTTTTCATCTAATAAATGTCGGACGTCTGCAAATTTCTCAGGTGGCAATTTGTTACCGATTCGGTGTTTGATATTGCTTGCTGATGTAGTATCTGATCTCATGGAGTTTCTTAAGAAAAACAAAACAAAACAAGACACAGCTAACCAACTTCAACTATGGGACAATGCCCATGCAACAATCTCACATACTTCTCTGGAGACAATTAAAACCCAATCTAACATTCACTTACAAATACTACAGACAGGTAATTATTTATTTACAAAAATCATGATTAGCCTGATGTAATGAGACCAGCCAGGTGAGCAGGTGCCAAGGTTTCCACACCTGATGTCTGTCAGCCATCATGAGCATGTAACTATGAGTCCCCTTCTCTTGGGATAAACACTGAGAGGCCTCTGCTCACCCAGGCTACAGACAGATACAACAGAGTCTGCAATCCCTTTAAGGGCCCCCTTCTCCGTCAAAGACATCTGCTACCATGCTAGGAACCAGCGTTATTTTGGCAGCATTTGTCCTTACAAAGTTCTGTGAAAACTAAAAATAAGGATGTGAACAAAGCCATATAAACCAGTTCGAATGGTTCCTTCCTTTTTCCAAATACACCGCCACGAACACTTAGAGAAAGCATCCCTAGATTCTAACCCTTTGAGTTGTACATATGCTATCTGCCCTGAGGAATGTGCTCATCCTCATCCCCACTAGTCATCAAAGAAAAGCACATTAAAATAACTGTTTGTTTTTTTTCCCTGGCTGGTTGCTCAGTGGTTACAGCGTCGGCCTGTGGACCAAAGGGTCTTGGGTTCGATTCCCGGTCAAGGGCAAGTAGCTTGGTTGCAAGTTCACCAGCCCAGGCAGGGGCTCATAAGGGAGCAACCAACTGATGTGTCTCTCTCATGTTGATGTTTCTCTATCCCTTCCCTTCTCCCTCCTTTCCACTCTAGCAATCTATGGAAAAATCTATGGAAAAAATATCCTCGGTAATGATTAAAACAAAACAAAACAAAACAAAAAACAACACTATTTTTTTGGTCCATAAAATTAGCAAAAATTAGAAAATAATAATACCTAATATTGATGAGTATGTAGGTTTCAGGTGGCAATGTGAGTAAATAAAACCCTTCTTGAGTGAAATTTCTCATACCATATTTTAAAACATATGCAATAATTGTAATTTAAGGAATTTGTCTATTAGTGTGATAGTAAAAAAATAGAAACCTAAGTATCCATCAATAAGAGATTGGGTTAAATAAACCATGATGCTTTCAAACAATGAGTTACATACAGCTGAAAAAATAGTGAATCTCTATAACATGTTAAATGGAAAAAGCATACTGCAAAACAATATAAGTAGCATAACTTCACTTTTGTACAACTATGCCTATAATTTCTCCATGTGTTCTGTGTATGTATGGAATTAGTGGGAAGGTTATTCACCCAGATGCTAACAGTCCTTGTCTAGGAGAGGATGACTATACAAGTGATTTTCACCTTTTATACTGTCTATAACAAGGATCTCTTCTTGTATATTTTGAGGAAAAATCAAACACTTTTATTCAAACTCTTCAAAGGACTAAAATTAGAACAGATAAGGAGATTATAAAACTAAGAGAAATTAAAATGAAGTTAGTAATTAGTATTTAAAACCAAATTAATAGCACTGACAGAATAATCATCTTACCTAATATTTTTCAACTGAGATTCCACTTCATCGGCGTACATAGTCATTTTCATGCTTTTCTTTGGTGAAGGAGTGGAAATCATTTTCAGTTCTAGATCATAGTCCATTTCATCGGAGTCTGAGCTGCTAGCACTGGACCTCCTGGATGAGCTCCGCTCCCGGGTCTGCTTGAGAGCCGGGAGCTCCTCATGGTACTCCACTACCACCCTGTCGTCGGCGTCCATGTCCTGGTCCTCCTCCTCCTCCTCCTCTTCCTCTTCTTCAATGGGCTCCTCAGGAACATTCACCAGTCCTAAGGAATTTTACCAAAAACATTAGTAAAAACAATGACAAGTCTACTTTTCTATTTATTTCACTGACTTCTTTAAAAGAAAGGCTCCCATGCCCACGATTTTACTGACGCATTATCTATCACAGTGCCAATCTGGTTGCCATTCTGACACCTACAACAGAAGAATGGCTAGGTCAAGTATGATCTAGCAGCCCATGGATTACAAAATTATCTAAAATACAGTCAACTGCCATTATTCAGATTCTATATTTTTGACTTTGCCAAACTTATTTCTAACTCCAAAACCAATGCTCGCAGTGCGTTCACGGTCATTAGTGGACTGTGCAGCGAGGCAAAATGAGCCGCCACACATGCATCTTCCCGGCAGAGGCCAAACAAAGCAGCGCTCTTTCCTCTTGCTCATCTCACACTTAAGTGTCCTTTTGCAGTCTAGTGAGTGCCACGTTTTCCACATTTATGTGGTGTTTGTTGGTGATTTCAGTATTTAGTAATGCCAAAACTGTCTAGTCTTCCTAAATGGAAGGAGGATGTAGTGTGCCTTAAGAGGAGAGGAAAATACGCGTATTATATCAGCTTTGTTCAGAGATGAATTACAGTGCTGACTGTGAATTCATGCTGATGATTGTATTAAATATATGTATTAAAATAAAGTGTCTTTAAACAGAAAGACAAGGTTATATATTGATCAGCTGACCAAATGGTATGACCAGATTCTCAATGGTTCAGTATCTACTCCTTCAAGGGTCATGGTGACTTTACAGATCATAATCACTAGAAATAATGAAAATCAACTGCAACTTTAAAGTTTATGAAAAAACACATATAAATAGTGGAAAAAGCAGACTATAGAATATATATTTACAAAAATTGTAACATTTATTATAAAAAAAAAAAAAAATAGAGAAACCAAGATGGCAGCATAGGGTAGACACCCGAATGTAGCCTACCACAACAAATTTGAATTTAGAACTGAAAAACAGGGGAGGTATTGCCCTGAAGCGCCGGACGGCTAGCTGAGAGGAGGCTCTGCCATCTGGGAAGGAGAGAGAAGGCACACTGAACCTCAGGAACTGTGTGCGCGAAAAGGCGCTGGCTTACTCCTGGCACACGGAGAGGAAGGGCCGGACCAAGATTGCTGCTGGCTTACTCCCGGCGTGCAGAGAGGGAGGACAGCTAACGCGCGGCCCCAGACAGAGAGAGGCCAGACTGTCAGGCAGTGGGCAGAGATCTCTCGGAGGTGTGTGAAGCCAGACGCCATTACTGCGGGACTTGGGGAGGAGCCGATGGGAAAACAAAGTTTGTCTGCACCAACCCGAGACTCCGCCCCATCTGTGGCTGAGCACAGAAGCTCTCCCAGAGGCTGGCTTTCTCTAAGGAGGGACTGGCCGGAATCCAAAGCTTGTCTGTGCCTTTACCAAAGAGGTGCTCGAGCCTGCAACCAATCTTCTGAAACTCTCCACGAACAGAACTTTTCTAAGGCGAGACTGACAGGGAACCAAGATTGTCTGCGCCATCCTGAGACCCCGCCCTATCCAAGCTGAGTACAGAAGCCCTCCTAGCTGAGACACTGCTGATCCTCACAGCCAATTGGCTTGGAGATCAACGCTTCCCTGATACCAACAATAAGCAAGGCTTAACAACAAGACTGCACACACAGCCCACAAAGGGCTACACCAAGACTGTCCACTGCAGGTAACTGGGAAGGCTGTGCTACTGAGCTCTACCAGAACACCTAGCACACAAAACTATTCCATCAAATCAGGGAAACAACTAAAATGCAGACAAGAACCAGGACACAAAGGAAGGAGATAGAAGAAAAGAAAAGATTGGACATTAAGTTCAAAATTACAGTTATAAGGTTATTCAACAATATCCTAAAAAAGGCCGATAAAATAAATGAGACCTATGAGGATATGAAAAGGGAGCAACTAGAAATAATAAGGGATCAACTAGAAATGAAGAAAACATTGTCTGAAATAAAAAATATTATACAAAGTCCTAAAAACAGACTGGAAGATCGCAAAGGAATCAAGACAAAGATTTAGAACACAATGAGCCAGAGGACACTCCTCTGCAGAAGGGAGAAGGTAAGAGAATCCAGAAAGTTGAAGATAGTGTAAGAAACCTCTGGGACAATTTCAAGCGAACCAACATCAGAATTATGGGGATTCCAGAAGAAGAGAGAGAGCAAGATACCGAAAGAATACTGGAAGAAATAGTGACAGAAAACTTCCCCCACCTGGGGAAAGAAATAGACTTACAAATCCAGGAAGCCCGCAGAACCCCAAACAAAAGGAATCCAAGGAGGACCACACTAAGACACATCATAATTAAAATTCCAAGAGCAAAAGACAAAGAGAGAATATTAAAAGCAGCATGAGAGAAAACAGGTAGTTACCTATAAAGGAGCACGCATACGATTGTCAGCTGATTTCTCAACAGAAACCATGCAGGCCAAACGGGAATGGCAAGAAATATTCAAGGTGATGAATAGCAAGAACCTACAGCCAAAAATAATCTACCCAGCAAAGCTATCACTCAGAATCAAAGGACAGATAAAGAGCTTCACAAATAAAAAAAAACTAAGAGTTCATCACCACCAAACCAGAATTATATGAATTGCTGAAGGGGGTTATTTAGGAAGAGGAAGAAGATAAACATAAAAATTATGATCAACAAATACATAACTATCAACAAGTGAATCTAAAAACCAAGGGAATTAAAAAAAATCTGATAAACAATATTAACTGGCGAATATAATAGAATCAGAGGTATGAAAGGGGAATGGACTGATGATTCTCGGGGATAAGGGGATGCGGGAAGAGACTGAACAAAAACCGTGCACCTATGGATGAGGACAATGGGGGTTGGGGAAAGGACAGAGGGTGGGGTGGGAACCTGGTGGTGGGGAGCAACTGAGGGGGGGGAAGAGGATCACATTTGTTATAATCTGAACAATAAAGATTTATTTAAAAAAATAAAATTTAAAAAAAATAGAAAAAATGTAAAATGAAGTCAGTATATTATAGCGCTAGAATTAGGGACAATTCTCTTTTTAATATTTTTAATATAATTATGAAGATTGCATGATGAAAATATCTTAATGTAACTGAAATTGGAAAACTGTAACTGCCTAAAATGCAAATTTCACATATATAATTTTCTATATATACATTAAATAAAAATGTATAGATGTGACCTCCCCTTGTCCTTGTTACAATGATAAACATGTATGCATGTTATTCCATGTTTGTATGTTCACTTAGCTAGTTCTAGTTCTACCAAGCTTATGGAAGATCCCACAGCTTAGGTTCAAAATAAAAAACAAATCTTTATAAAACATAAGGAAAATGGTTCTTTTACAATAAGCAAAGAAAGATGAGGAGAGAAGAAAAAAACCCAAGTCATGATATCCTATTTTTCTAGAGACATTCATGTGTATAAGCCAATACGCATAAAACACTAGCTATAGCAGCCTATTTTCATTTTCAGATAAAGGAACAATAAAATCAGCTCAACTGATAAAATTTTTTAAAAAATTTTTTTCATGCAGCTTTTGATATACAAAGGAAAAACTAGATTCCTAAGAATAGTTTCCCTAGGTCACATTTGATCTTTTTTATTAGAACAGCTTTTATAAAATCATTTGACCTCTTTGGGCAATTTAAAATTAATTGTGACTTGACTTACTTTCCTATATGTTGGCAGAGGGTGAGGGCAAGGAAGAGAGGATGATAAAGTTTGGAACCTTAAAAGACTGCATTAAGAATAAAAATATGATTTCGGGAGCCAAACATGTGTCTACCCAAGAGCTGAGCAGGCAACTACCGGAATGTCGATGTTTATAGGACGTCAAGCCAACATCATCCCCAATCATGGCTCTCTTCTTGATCACATCCCGCTGAATGCGACGGGAATGATATCTTCGCTTCCTGCAACATTGTCAAAATAAGCACATAATTAAAGACCAACAGGAAGAACCATGAAACCCACTGATTAATTTCAACTTCACAATGACAAATGTCAGGCGCTGAGACAGACATCTGAAATGAAACTGAAGCTCATATTCTCACACCTTTTACCACAGTTAAGAATCCTGCACTCTTCCCTCCTGTCTTCCTTTGAGTCCACATATGGAGTTGACATTCCACTGCAGAATACCAACTAAAGGATTAAGCAAAGTTTAACTGCTGTGTTTTATACTTTTGGACTCACCAAGAATTACTAAGAATTCCTTTCATGCCTCCGTAATTTGGATTCCCATATTTCATGTAATACTGACTTCTTCTGGCTGCTCCAAGTTCTTTTTTGTCATCTAAAAATTAATTACAACAGTTACCTAGGATTTCCTGTGGGTGTGAATACAATGTGTTAGAGTTAAAAATAAATAAATAAGACTGTTTTGCTTAGCTGGGATAGGTCAGCACAATCAGCCAACAGAAGGGAAAGATGCACTGCAAACATTCCCTCTCTCTGTGCCCACTCTGTGTGTGTGTGTGTGTGTGTGTGTGTGTGTGTGTGTGTGTGTAGGGGAGGGGAAGGACATGAAGGGGAAGCAAAACAGAGATGAATGAGGCGAAGCAGCTGTCAAGGAGGAAATATTTCATAGAGGAAATACCACTATTAAACCCCAACAATACAAGACATAAGGTTCTAAGAAGCAAGACAGAGCTTCAATCATGACAAGTGCTCAGGCATCAAATGGGCTTTTTAGAAAAGGTGGCATTTTCACTGCCCCCTGAAAGGTGATTTTCATTTCTTTTCTTTTTTTCTTTTTTTGTAAATATATATATATATATTGTTTATTTCAGAGAGGAAGGGAGAGGGATAGAAAGACAGAAACATCAGTGATGAGAGAGAATCATTGACCAGCTGCCTCCTGCACTGGGAATCAAGTCACAACCCGGGCATATGACCAGAATCGAACCCGGGACCCTTCAATCCATAGGCCAACGCTCTATTCACTGGGCCAGACTGGCTAGGGCTTATATTCATTTCTGATTCATAACATACCAATAACACAGAATCGGGATTAAAGAAACAGACTATACAGAATTCCATATATTTGATAAACCATTTTTTCCAGTTTATCGTGATTTCCTCAAAATAGCTTAAAGCACTGTATATATATCTCGAATGCTCTCTACCACTCAAATCAGTAAATGAAGAGAAGATCCCTTTGTCAGGTTAAAAGACCCATTAGTAGGAAAGAAAGGTGGTCAGTGATCACACATACTTTTCATAATATAAAGGACCTGAACAACTCTTTGGGCACTCACTGACTGCAAAGGACAAACCCCAATATGAAAGTATCAGTGCCATGGGTAAACTTAGTCACACAAACTAGTATGCCCCCCTACAAAAAAAAAAACGTGCCTGAGGAGAAACAGCTGGTTCCAGATCAGAGGCGGGGAAAATACAAGTGGGGTCTGGAAAAACAAGATGTTTTAGTGTGCCATAGAGAAAGTGGTCCAATAACCATGGAGACATGTCAAAAGCACACAGCGGGTAGGGGCTCTACTGGCCAAATCAAAGGCAATTCGCGAATCAAGATAACGACAACAATGGATGATAACCCAATGAATAAAACAAAACTACATGAGCCTAAACTGATATAAGTAAATAAATAAATGGGTAAAAGGAAAAGCTCTTCCTTATAGCAGACTGCTAACTAGTAAACGATGCAGTTAATAAATCAACGGATGCTAAAGCTACTGCATGAAAGCCTGATGAGCAATAGGCTATCTACATAATCTCAAAGTATCTTCCCACAAATTTTTAAATCACAAGTGGAAAAACAGCAACTTGACGGCTTGGAGAAACCTGGTAATCATTACCTTAACCCAGTGATGAAAGATACCATACCGGGTATGGGACGATATCACGTGCCTCCTGATATGAGGCACTGAGAACAACACATTATCACTTCTGTGGTATTTCTGCCTAAAATGCACAACCCAAATCAGAAAGAAACACAAGACAAAACCAAACCAAAGGGTTGTCTATAAAATAATGAGCCTATCTTTTTAAGAAATGGTTCAGCTGGGACCGGTTTGGCTCAGGAATAGAGCGTTGGCCTGTGGACTGAAAGGTCCCGGGTTCGATTCTGGGCCAGGCCATGTACCTTGGTTGTGGGCACATCCCCAGTAGGGGGTGTGCGGAAGGCAGTTAATCAATGATTCTCTCTCATTGATGTTTCTAACTCTCTATCCCTCTCTCTTCTTCTCTGTGAAAAATCAATAAAATATATTTTAAAAAAAAGAAAGAAAAAAAGAAAGGAAGGAAGGAAGGAAGGAAGGAAGGAAGGAAGGAAGGAAGGAAGGAAGGAAGGAAGGAAGGAAGGAAGGAAGGAAGGAAGGAAGGAAGGAAGAAAGGAAGAAAGAAAGGAAAAAAGAAAGAAAAAGAAAAAGAAATGGTTCAGTCAAGGAAAAGAGAGCAGGTCCAGATCCAGGGAGATTGAGGAGACATGGATTAGTTGAACATTCGCTCTGGAGTGGACCCCAGGTTAGCGGGGAGGGAGAGGAAGAGGAGGGAGTAGTAAAAGGAAAGTCCAAATTTATTTGACAATTATCATCGTCGTCGTCATCAAACACTGCTACAAACAGCACTCACTGTGTGTCAGGCAGTTTAATGTCAGAATGAGGAATTCTTGGGACAACTAATGAAATCTGAATGTGGATTATGGATTATTGTGTATTAATGCTAAATTTCTCGATTTTGATAAGTGTGCTCTGTGTAAGACAAAGTCCTCATTCTTTAGGAATACATACTGAAGTATTAAAAAATGAAGGGTCATTTCTAATTAACTGTCAAACAATTAAACAGAAACAGTGTGGGGGTTTAATGTGCACCGAAAATCATTGCGTATAAAAAGCCTTACAAATTATAGGCTTGACCTAAATACTTAGAGCAGTGGTCAGCAAACTCATTAGTCAACAGAGCCAAATATCAACAGTACAACTATTGAAATTTCTTTTGAGTCAAATTTTTTAAGCTTAAACTTCTTCTAATGCCACTTCTTTAAAATAGACTTGCCCAGGCCGTGGTATTTTGTGGAAGAGCCACACTCAAGGGACTAAAAAGCCGCATGTGGCTCTCGAGCCATAGTTCGCCAACCATGGCCTTAGAGAATTAGACCTGAAGGGCACTATGAGCAATGTCCAAGAGGTTATTACTGTGATAAATAAAAAATACAATTTTAAAAGGTTTTCATGGGTCAGATGATAAATTGGCTAAAAAGCACATGGACAAATGAGCTTTAACAGAAAATAACTTCTTTAGCCAGAAATCACAGAAGAACACAAATAGTATTTACTTTCCAGGTCAGAAATTCTAACTCGGGTAAGCACAAAATATTACAGTTTGAGATTACTTGATCTAACCTCTGATTCAAAAGAGAAGGATGTTATTCAATAATAAATCACTTTGATTAATAATAAAAATCAATAGCAAATATCATATTTACCTTTTGTAGCAAATCTCATGAACAACTTATTTCCTTTAGCAAGTTTATTAGCTGGACGAAGATCGTTTCTTAGCAGAGACTCTTCTTCTACCTGAGATAATGTTTCCAACTTAAGAAAAAAGAGCATTTCAATATAAAAAATTAAAGCCATTTTCACTTTTATTCAGAAGCAGTTACCATTGATTAAGAAAGCATTCTGCCTTTAATAACACTCTCAGTATTACTGCACTAGGTTCTAAGTCAGAGGTCTTCCCTGACCACTTTGTCAAACAATGGTTCCCATCACACTATCCACTTACCCTTCTAAATTTCCCTCATGGCAATTATCACTGCCTGACATTGTTTTATATACCTGCATTGGTGTATCTGTATTATCTGTTTTCCCCACTAGATTGTAAGCTCCAAGAGAGCAAAGACTTTGCTTGGCTTGAAGCTGTATAATGCATCTTTTTATATCGATATGAATACACTTTAATTTTTCCAACAGTAGTACATAATCTGTTAGGAAATATGCCATTTCTTGCTTTTTCCAAATTTTACTTATTAGATAACACTTCAAAGTATTTAACAAAATCATTTTCTCTTACAGAAATGTAAGTACTATTATAAGATCTCAAGATAAATCGTGCATTATTATCACACAAACTTAAAAAGCAAGGGTCTGGTGCACCTCAGGAAGTCTAGTGGTGAGAGCCAGAGGAAGAATGCAACTTAAATAAAAACGTAGCAAACAGTTTTTTACAGTGAAACCTTACATATATATTTTCCCTATTACTAACCTCTACATCACTTGAGTTTTCATCTTCAACTTCTCCTTCTTCAGCCTCATCATCTGAACTGTCTTCCTGCTTGTCTAAAATGGAATATGAGGGACAAGATGATCTTTAAAATAACTCCATCTTATATTATTTAAAAGTCTGATTATTTTCTCCATCTATTTACTAATTATCCAAAACATCAAAGCCTTTTTCAGAAATAACTAGCGATGAGATACTATATAACACTTTGCACAGAAACCCAGACCAACTGAGTAAATAATAGGACTTTCAGCCCAAAAGTCCCTTCTTTGTGTTCAGTTACCTTTTTTGCTTTTCTCAGATGACTTGTCCTCATTGGCATCCTTGCTTTTTATCTTATCCAGGTCTGGCAGAGAGCTCATATTGATAAGGGCTCGTGTGGCTGTCATTTCATCCAGCCAAACCACATTACCTAAAATAAAATGTAAAATAAAACAACATCATCACATCCAAATGGTTAAGTTTCCTGAGAGCAGAAACTGCATCAGATTCATTGTTGTTGTTTTTTTTTTTTCTTTTTTTCTTTTTATTTTTTTTATGTGTAACACATTGTTTAATGACAGGAGAATCATGTTCAAAAATCAGAGAAACCAGGGGGATACTGGTTACCTTTATACTTCTGTGCCAATGAGTTGGCTTTTTTTTTTTTTAATTAAATTATTATCTGTGTACATATCTTACCATTCCCCTCCCCTCTCATTCATACCCTCCCTCCCCAGAGTTTTGTGTCCATTGGTTGTACTTATATGCATGTATACAAGTCCTTCGGTTGATCTATTATTTCCCCCAGATCTCCCTCCCCTCCCTGCTGTAATTTGACAGTCTGCTTGTTGCTTTATTGTCTCTAAATCTATCTTTTGGTTCATCAGTTTATAATGTTCTTTATTATCCATAACCATATTCATTGTTAAACCTCATCTAGGTACAGATTGAGAGCAATAAATATACAAATCAACGAATGAAAAGAATAGGAAGTAGTAGTAAAACCTCTTTGATGAAAGTGGCCTTAAGCTGCATTTCCCAACTGGGTTCCACAAAATAATGGTCAAAGATTCCATGCAAAAGTGTTTACATAATAAAACTGCCTGACACTTAGTGCTATGTGTTAGTTCTTGATGAGGATGATGATAATCTATAGAAATAAAAGGGTAATATAATATGCTAATTAGTCTGGACATCTTCCAGATGTCCCTCTGGACGTCCATCCGGTCCAAGCCACAGCAGATGCGAGGCCCGGGGCTCAGGCAGCCATGGGCTCAGGCAGCCGCTATGGCCAGCAGCAGCAGTGGGGTGATGGGGGTGGCGCCTTCCCCTGATCAGCCCGGTCGCCTCCGGCAGAGGGAGGCCAGACTGCAGGTTAGGCCGGCTCCCCATGTGGAGCGGGCCTAAGTCGTCAGCAGGACATCCCCTGAGGGCTCCCAGACTGTGAGAGGGGGCAGGCCAGGCTGAGAGGAGCAGGCGGGGCTGAAGGTGAAATCAAATTTTTGTGCACCAGGCCTCTGGTTATCAAATAAATGTGGATTGTCCTCTATACCACTGCCCCTCCAAGGAAGCCCTATGCTATTCCTTATCATCCAGACATGCTTTTAAATGATGCTCCCCCAATGATGATAGTACCATCATGGATATATACAATGGAGACATAACAGACACTTGGCTTTGTAGCAACAACTAAATTTGCTTCTTTGAAGAAAGAATTTAGCCAAAAAGAAAAAAGATTTTGAGAATTCTTATCGAGTCTCACCTTTGTTACCGACACACCATGTGGCCTTGGACAATTTACCTTCTCTGTTTCTCAGTTTCTTGGTTTCTGATGCACAATATGAAGTTGCTGAACTGGATAATTCTAAGGGTCTCTCCAACTGCAATATCCCTTATCTAGTTTTAATGACTTAAACCAGTGGACAGCAAACTAAAACCTGCAGGTCAAATCCAGCCCGTCATTTGTCATTTATTTATTTATATGTGTACCAGATTTAAGTTTAATTAATGTACAATAAACTACACACCACTGCCTGTTTTTGTAAAATAAAGTTCTTTTTAAAAAAAAAATATTTTATTGATTTTATTACAGAGAGTAAGGGAGACGGATAGAGAGTTAGAAACATCGAAGAGAGAGAAACATCGATTAGCTGCCTCCTGCACACCCCCTACTGAGGATGTGCCTGCAAGCAGGGTACATGCCCTTGACCGGAATTGAACCTGGGACCTTTCAGTCCACAGGCCAAACTAGTTCTGGCTGTTTTTGTAAAATAAAGTTCTATAGAAAATAGCAAGGCTCATTCAATTACATACTGTCGATGGCTTTTCTCATGCTCTTATGGCAGAGCTGAATAAATGATAGAGACTATATGACCTGCAAAGCCTAAAATATTTACAACCCTGCCGAGACCAGTTTGGCTCAATGGATAGAGCGTCGGCTTGGGGACTGAAGGGACCCCGGTTCGATTCCGGTCAGGGGCATGTACCTTGGTTGCGGGCACATCCCCAGTGAGGGGTGTGCAGGAGGCAGCTGATCAATGTTTCTCTCTCATGGATGTTTCTGACTCTCTACCCCTCTCTCTTCCTCTCTGTGGAAAATCAATAAAATATATTTTAAAATATTTACAACCCAGCCCTTTATTAAAAAAAAAAAAAAAAAAAAAAAAAAAAAGATTTGGCAACCCTAATTTGGATAATGTAAGTTAAGGAAAAAGAAAACAGGACAAAAACATTTTACTCAGTCATGTTTCTTCTTTCAATGAAAACACTGAATCAACATCTTTTAAAGAAAGCAGCCAGAAAAACCAGGCTGCTATCCAGAGCACAACCTGATAGGCCGGCCAGCTAGCAGTAAGGGGAGCCGGACTAGAAATGAGTCGAGACAAAAAGCCAGTAGCGTGGTCATCAGTCAGAACAGACCTGGAGTGGGGAGGCAAGTTAAAAACTACAGTTGGCTCACAAGTTTAACAGCTCACAGGTCTGGTAAAGTGGCAGGGTTTCTGACATAGTTCTAATTAGAGACACTGAGGCAGAGCCAGCACCTGGATCGTCAACTGTATGGCAAGTTGCAAAGACAAAGTCTGAAGCCCTGAAAACACAGCCCTCAGCCCGTCTACACAGCTGGATCCACCCCTTTGTTGGGAAATTGTGGGAGTTCAAGAGGCCTTAATCGTGTACACTGGGCTTAGATGCTAGCAACCAGCTTCATAGGCCTTGGTCACCACTCTGAGCTGACTTAGAATACTCATGGGGAATAATCTGGTAGACTAGTTAATGTATCTGGTTCTCATCAATGGGGATTTTTTTTCTCTTCTACACTAAGGGCAGAGGTTAGACACAGACAAGTAGTCTGGGCCATAGTCATTCACCATCCGAGGTGGCAGGAACAATTTCAAAATCATAAGCAAAAACATACTTAACAGAAAACTTGGGTATACTTACACGAGGTATCATCCAACCATTCAATGTGAGCCGGAGGATACTCTTTAAAATAGGAAAAGATATCCTGGGTACTCATCTCGTCTACTCCGCAAATGTAGATTGTCTCCAGTCTCACTTTGGGGATTGCTAAGAACACAGGACACAGAAAAGATGATAGGATTTTCCCGCCCACTATTGCACACTCCACCCTATTACACAGTTCAGGTAACATGTGTTTAGAAAGAAATATGCTGAAAGAGATGACATTTATTTTAAAAGAAAAGGAGAGAATGACAGCAAGGTATTCTGTTTTGCTTTTTATCACAAACCAAACAGCATTAAATCAATTATTTAAGTCAGAACAGGCTTTTAGGCTAAGAAAGATTGAACAATTAATGTTGACAAAATACACAATACCTTTCCCCAAATTAACCTGCAATTAAAAGCAATATCAAATTCAATAGGCTTTTTCATTAAACCAGGCAAGCTGATTCTAAAAATATATATAAAAAAGCCTATGTAGCCAACCAACCGGCTGACCACCCGGTCGCTATGACACATACTGATCACCAGGGGGCAGACACTCACACCAGGAGCTGCCGAGCTGCAGTGACTTGGCAGCGGCGGTCCTTGGGTGACACACCCTGAAACCAGAGAGGAGGGAGCCCGATTCCTCATGGTGCTGCGTGATTCCACCTTCAGCCGTGGGTTATGTTGTTGCTGGGGCACTCTAGGCCCCAAATCTGGTTTACTGCACACTTGTGTTTGTGTTCCACACCCTGCATGACAGCAACTTTGCAGAGTGCCCTCTCGCACTCCGGGACCCCTCGGGGGATGTCAGAGAGCTGGTTTTGGCCTGATCCCCACAGGCCAGCCCGAGGGACCCTGCTCACTCCACAGACACCAGGGAGGGACACAGGAGGCTGCCTCCAGGGTGTGTCCAGCCCATCTCACCCAGTCCTGCCCCACTGGCCACCTTCTAATTAATTTCCTTTCAATGTGCACAAATCAGGGCACATGGTCACAAGTTTTTAAATATTTATGAAAGAAAAATGTGGAACAGTTCAGGCCATTTCTGAAAAAGAAGGAATAAAATGATATCCCCTGGATATAAAGCAAAGAAGGAAACTGAAGTAATGAAATCTTATAAATACTGATAAAATGACAGCTTAAAATAAAAACAGGCAAAGAACATGAGTACACAATTCACACAACAGGAAATACAATAAATATATGAAAAGATGGCTGACCTCATAATCAGAAAAGCACACACTAAAACAAGATACCAGTTTTCAATTACTAGAATTTTTTTTTAAATTTATGTATTTTACTATCAATTGTTGGTAGGGTGGAGAAAAGAGCCCTCCTCCCTCTGCTGGTGGGACTGAGAAGTGGCACAGCCGCTCTGAAGGACAAATTGGAAGTGTCTGTTATAAATGTAATTTAGCACGTGACCTGTAGGCCTAGTTACTCCTCTTGTGGGTTCACACAGTAGCTCACAGAGAGATATTTGTTTTGTCATTTTGAAGAGTAGAAGGTTTAAGGGGAGCCCACACAGGTGTGTCCAGACTACCTGGTAAATCAGGTGATACCTTCCTGCCACCCGGATTATGGAGATGGAGATACTATTAAGACCTTTGAATCTCTGCAAATCCTTACTAGTGACCAGCGGTACAACAGTGAACGAAGCCCAAACGAGCCAGGTGTTCACAATGGGCATCCAGGTTGGGAAACTGAAGGAGTCAGACCAGGGGGCCTTTTCAGTTCTTGGAGCTAAAGGCCACGAGTATGGATGGAAAAGGTCCCAAGGGAAGTAGAGAGGGAACAAACAACAGGAAGAGATCCTGGAGATGGCAGAGAAAACAGACCAGGGGAAAATGTCTGAGGAACACTTGTTGACCTGATAACAGGGTTTATTCATAAGTAAGACAAGCAATAAGTAAATACCTAAGTAAATAAATACCTAGAGCATCATGGCACTGCTCTAACATTATAATGCTTTTATTACAAAAACAATGACACAAACCTGCAGAAGTAGCTTATAAACAAAAGACAATAAGGAATAAAACTTCTGGCTTCAGTTGTCTTTATTTTAAAAATTTTTTAAATTGATATTTATAAAGAGGAAGGGAAAGGGACAGAGATAGAAACATCAATGATGAGAGAGAGTCATTGATGGGCTGCCTCCTGCACGCCCCCCATAGGGATCGAGCCTGCAACCTGGGTATGAGCCCTGACTGAGAATCAAACCGGGACCTCCTGGTTCATGGGGTGATGCTCAACCACTGAGCCACGCCGGCTGGGCTTTATTTTAATGTACAGAGAATGGTATACACATCTAGAAATGGGCAATGAATAGTCTTGTTCAAAAGAAGCAGGTATAGATACAAAAGCCATTATCACTACAAAGATAAACGTTTCAATGAGCTGGGAAAAAAGTTCATTCTCTCTCTTTTTTTAAAAAATATATATATTTTATTGATTTTTTACAGAGAGGAAGGGAGAAGGATAGAGAGCTAGAAACATCAATGAGAGAGAGAAACATCAACCAGCTGCCTCTTGCACACCCCCTACCGGGGATATGCCCGCAACCAATGTATATGCCCTTGACCGGAATCGAACCTGGGACCTTTCAGTACGCAGACCGATGCCCTACCACTGAGCTAAACCGGTTTCGGTGTGAAAAGTTCATTCTCAAAAGAGAACCAAACCAATTGTGGCAAGATGCACTAGAGACGGAAACCTTGTTAAGCTCAAAATGTGATGGAAGACTGCCAAAGGAGAATGCTCAATACTTCCTCACCTTGTTGACAATGTCACTGCTTAAAATAAAACAAAGCAGGAGCCTAGATCTGTGCCCAGTCAGTGAGGAAGGCTAACTGCTGAGATGGCAGTGAACAGATGGATGAGGGGATGAGAACTGGCCATTTACTGAGTGCTGACTACCAGCAAGGTGGTGAGGGCATTATCTTGCTTATTTTTAACAGGAAAGAAAACAACGAATGACAGGGAGTAGGAAAGTAGATTTCTGAAAATCCAGAGAAAAAGAAGCCAATCCCACGGCCTCACACTAAAATGTTGAAAAAATTTGTAAGACATTAAATATAGTTACTCAGAATATGAGAGGTGATTCCCAAGGAAAGAACAGGCAGCAAAGCTTGGGTGAGACACTCTGCCAAATAACACATATGGGAGACAGACAAAGGGTAAATGACTAACGACAAAGGTAAAAGAACAAATATAAGAATCTAAAAGACTAGATAATAGATCAACCGAAGGACTTTTATACATGCATATAAGTACAACCAATGGACATAAAACTCTGGGGAGGAAGGGGATGTGCGGGAGGGGGGTAAAATAAAAATAATAATAAAAAGATAAATTTAAAAAAAAAAGAATCTAAAAGACTAACAGCAGCCTATATAATGATCTGGAAAATGCAGATGGCAGATTGTCAAGTGAAAAGGAAAGGGAGAAACAAAAATAAAATCTGCGTGCAGAAAAGATTCAAAGGAAATATACAAAATGTTGACAATGACTGGGTTTTATGTTAGACTCTGGGCAACTTTTCTTCTTACTCTCCTTCCCAAGTTTTCTTTGGTGAATGTGAGTTGTGAAATGTCTAATGAAGAAAAGGGTACAGTTCAGAGTATATAGACTCATCAAAAATGCCAATGGCTTTTTTTTTTTTCTGTACACCAAAAAGTTACAGGTTTGATCCCCAGTCAGGCAGTTGATAGATGTGATCTCTCTCTTTCTTTCTCTCCTCCCACCCTTTCCTTCCTCCCTAAATCAATAAAACATATCCCCAGGTAAAAAACAAAAAAAAACAAATAACATATATATAAAAATTCCATTCTCTGGAATTTTTAAAAAGGAGCTGATCAGCCGAAACCGGTTTGGCTCAGTGGTAGAGCGTTGGTCTGTGGACTGAAAGGTCCCAGGTTCAATTCCAGTCAGGGGCATGTACGTTGGTTGCGGGCACATCTCCAATGGGGAGTGTGCAAGAGGCAGCTGGTCGATGTTTCTCTCTCATCAACGTTTCTGGCTCTCTGTCTCTCTCCCTTCCTCTCTGTAAAAAATCAATAAAAATATATATTAAAAAAAAAAAAAAAAAAAGGAGTTGATCAAACAGAATCTACAATCCCATAAGAAACCAAGTCTCACCCTAGCCGGTTTGACTCAGTGGACAGAATGTCGGCCTGTGGAATGAAGGGATGCAGGTTTGATTCTGGTCAAGAACATGTGCCTTGGTTGCAGGCTCCATTCCTGTCCTTGGTCAAGGTGTATACGGGAGGCAACCAATCGATGGGTGTCTCTTACAGAGATGTTTCTCTCTGTCTCCCCCCCTCCCTTTCACTCTCTTAAAAAAAAAAATCACTGAAAATATCCTCGGGTGAAGAGTAACGAATATGAGTTCTCTAAGAAGCCAGCCACACAAACCTCTTTTCTTTCTTTGGCAGCATTACCCCACACCAAGAAATTCAAGTTCTATCTCGAGACCATTAAGGCATGTAATTTAGCTCCTCGTGACAATAAAGTGAAATGTGGACCTGATAATAAACTAAGACTTATAATTCATGGATCTGTGTTTCATGGCACGATATGGAATTTTCATGATCAACATTTACCAATAGCTGGATAAAGATGCAGAAGACTGGCATACCAAAGTGAGGAATAGAGCTAAAATGCTAAAAGATGCAGGTAAGATGAAAATGAACTCGACAGACTGAAATGGAGTTTTGAAATTAATAAGATATAATTTGGTAAAGGTAAATAAGAGAGTAATTCTTAAACAGTGCCTCAAGTACTAGACAAGACTGTTTGATGGGGAGAATTTCCAAGGAGGAGACCTGCGTGGTTCGGTTGCCTGGCAGGTGCACACACTGTGAAATGGCTAAGACAGGAGTCATGGTGGAGCCCTGCCATTCTCCCCAGGAGTCCAACAATATCTGGAATCTACCCCTCACCGTATGAAGCACATTTAGAAACTGAAAAAGAGTTTAGAAGAGAGAGGCTAGAAAGCCAATTTACATAAACAAAGTGTAGGAAAGGGGCTTACTGCTCATTCACCTGAAGGATTATTATTGAATGAGGAAAGAAATAATGTTGTTCTAAGGGTCACACAATAACTAACTAATGGACAGAAATTTTAAGAAAGCAATTTCTGTTCAACATGAGGAACATGTATTAACATGTATCTAAAACCAAAATTAACTGCCTCATAAATAGTCCTTCTGCCACTACTAGGAAATGTTCAAGCAAAAGCCAAAAGACCATTGGGAACTTTGCCAAAAGGCCTGCAGCACGGGGCAGGAGGTGACTTTTGATGACCTCTGAGGTTCCTTCCAACCGTGAAAGCTTTGATCTTGGGGATAAGGAAAGGAAAGCAGTCGCTAAGAATAAGCAAGCAAGCCACTCCTGAGGCAGAATGATCAGGCAGCACATCCCACTCCCCCTGAGAGCTGGCAGAGAGGTTAGGAGCACAGGCTTCAGCCAGATCAGACTGCAAATCCCAGCTTTGCTACTTACCTAGCTACTTGCTACTGGGACCTCAGGCAAGGTTCTCAACCTCTCAGCACCTTAGTTTCCCCATCAGTAAAACAGAAATGGCAATTACCTTCCCTTCATAGGGCTGAGTGGCATATAGCAAGCATTTACCAAACGGTATCATTGGTATTAAGAAGCAATAATTTGACACCTAATGTGGCTGCAGGAGTCAAGATGTTTATTCCAATGTTCCCATTCTCCCAAGAGGCTAGCCACTTAGAAGACTGCTTGGAAGATGGAAAATGCCAGATAATGAAAATAATAACTAACATTTATTGGGGACTTACTATGTACCAGACATAAGAACTGTACATTATGCTAGAGCCTCCCAACAACCCTAGTAAAACCACTGTCTTCTGCCTCTCCATCTGAAGAAACTGAGTTTCTTAGAGCCTAAGTAACTTCCCCAAGTCACAGAGCTAGAAAGGAACAGGTCAGGATTCGAATATAGACAGCTAGGCTTCAGAACCCACCCTCTTTTCTTTTTTTAAAAACTGATTTTAGAAAGAGGAAGGAAGGGGGGGGGGATCTACATGGAAGAGACACGACATCAATGGTCACCTCCTGCATGAGTCCCCACCAGGGCCAGGGGACCGGCAACCGAGGCACATCCCCTTGACCAGGATGGGCCCAACTCTCCGGTCCATGGGCCAATGTTGTAACCGTGGAACCAACAGGCCAGGGCCAGAACCCACACTCTTAATCACCATACTAATGGTTCTCAATCTTGACTGTACATTAGAATTATTTAGAGATATAACAATAACTATTGCTGGGACCTATTCAAACCCCTCGCCTACCTCCCATCCTAATTTAAACTGATCTGGGATAGGCAGCAGGGTTCTCCAGAGTTCAGGAATACTACCCTAGACCATGCTGCCTTCTGGATGAAAAACAGATTATAGCCAAAACCGGTTTGGCTCAGTGGATAGAGCATCAGTCTGCGGACTGAAAGGTCCCAGGTTCGATTCCGGTCCGGGGCATAAACATTGGTTGCGGGCACATTCCCAGGTGGGGGTGTGCAGGAGGCAGCTGGTCGATGATATTCTCTCATCGATGTTTCTAGCTCTCTATCTCTCTCCCTTCCTCTCTGTGAAAAATGAATAAAACATATATTTTTTAAAAACACATTATAATGAGCAATGTGTCCCTGCTCATCCAGGCAGATCTATTGCTTTTTAGGAATATCTCAAGAACCATAAGATTAAAATTGCTTTCAAAAGAATTTTATTTTTAAATTTAACCCCAAAAGTTATCCTATTCAGGTAGGTATCATAGTCTCACGTTATAAACAAGGAGATTGAGAACTAACAAGGTTCAATAACTTATCCACATTCACAAAGGGACTGGGAAAAAGATTCCAGGAGGACACAGCACATTAAAGAGCTTCAACAGAGGTAAGAAATGTGAGTGGGTGATTCGGGCTTCGTGGAAAAAATGACATCTGACAAGACAAAGCATGGGACAAGGAAGGGCAAAATCAGCAGAATGAAAAGGCATGAATTGCCACAGTGAACACTCACAGGCTGGAAGTTAGCAAGCTGCAGCTATGAGAGAGGAGTCAGCACTCTGCTTGGGCCGAGACTGAGCAGGCAAATGAAGGCCAAGCTGCACAGCTATCCTTGGCCTTCATAGGGCTTTTCCTGAAACTGAAGTCCACTCAGGTAGATGCCTGGAAACCCAGCCTGCATGGGAAGCAAGGTCCTATTTCCAACTTGAACTCATGAGGCAGAAAAAACTGTAAAGCAGGATTCAGAATTGTGCTCTCTATTCAAGCTACTCTACCCATTGGGACAGACGGAGGAGATTTGGGTCTGTGCTGTCATATCACAGACATCAGGCAACTGGTTGCCTCCTGCATGAGTCCCCGCCTGGGCCAGGGAACCTGTAAGCAAGGTACATCCCCTTGACCAGGAATTGAACCCCTGAAATCCTGACTCCACTTTTACTAGCTGCATAACCTCAGGCATTTATTAAACTTCTTTGAGCCTATTTCTACTTCTTTGTAAAACAGGAATACAAAATATATTCCTCATAGGGTTGTTGTGAGAAACAAATAAGAAACGAATGTGCAATATGCCAACGAACATAGTGCCAGGTAAGACAGCAAGTTCCCCAAAATAGCTATTCTTTCGTTCATTCAACCTACTTTTATCCGTCAAGCAAGCCTAGAGAAACTCATAGAGCAGAGCACAGACATTTAACATGCAGAGGTCTGCCTATTAAATCCTTCAGAAATACCCAAATTTGCAAATACAACAGAGGGAGACCTTTTGTACTCATGGATTTATTTTATATTAGCGTGGAATAATAAGTATGACTATGAACTCAGTAAAAATTTTCCCTTTATTTTATAAATTGTGTCAGAAGACTGGGGCAGATTACTCTTTTTAATTCAGGGTGAGTCCCAAGAAGCAAAACAATTATCCTAATAAAACAGAAAAATAAGATAAAATCACAAGCCTGCATGTAAAGAAGTATGACAACTTTTCCCTACCAATCCAATACTGCTCTGACTCCCCTTAAAGAGGTCTTGCTGTGATATGCTTCTAATACGTTTATTTCATTTTATTATCCTCAGGCAAGGATGTTTTCCCCATTAGTTTTTAGAGTAAAAGGAGGGAGGGAAGGAGAGAGAGAGGGAGAGAGAGACACCAATGTGAGAGAGACATATCAATTGGTTGCCTCCTGCATGCCCCCAACCAGGGCCAGGAGCCTGCAACCGAGGTATGTGGAATGGAACTAGAATGGAACCCAGCACCCTTCTGTCTGCAGGCCAACAATCTAGCCACTGAGCCAAACTGGCTTTGGCTACTTCCAATACATTTGAAGACAAAGAAAAGTTAAGCTTCCTATGATAAGAGCAGAAATGGGTAAGCATCCGTAGAAGCATAGGTTCTAATCTCAGCTCTGCCACTAACTGGGTGACTTTCTTTGGGCCTCCTCTGACAAGACAATCTTTTTTTCCCCCAGCTCTAACATCTGAGACACAGCTAACACAACTCTAAACAGACCACCTCACAAATGGAGACATCCCACGTCTCTTTCCTGTGGGAGTATCTGAATGAGGACTGGACATGCAAGGCAAGGCCAGAAGCACCAGCCATGGCAGGAGAGGTTACTATCTGGGGAAATGTGGAAAAATTCCCCCAAACACCCAGTACCTTTCTTCATCATGTCTCGGTCCAAGGCGATATTTCTTTGGGCGAGATTTACTTCTGATCGCAAATGGAAGCGCTTGGCTCTTTGTTCTTTCTTTTCAATTGCTTCCTAGAAGGTACAGTAAAAGCCGAGTTTCAATGAACGAGAAAAGTTAGATGGCACACACAATCACAAATATAACATGAGGCATCAGTGACAACCCTAAAATAAATCAGAAGAAATAAGCAACAATGTACCTTTAATAATTTTTGCAGAGAACTGGATACTCAAAGTCAATGACTGGGAGGGTGTACATTAATGCTGCTATAATTTGTAATAATCTCCATGATGATTCAATGCCTATCACTGTGTCTGAGGCAGAGTAGGAATTCAATGAATATTAGTTGATCCAATGAGTAATAAGTAACGCTTAATTCTCTGACATTTCATTTATTAGCAGTCATGATTCAAACAAATTACAACTAAACAATCTCAAATCTCAATTTTCCAGGTGCAGAAACTGAAGCACAAAAAAGTGAAAAGGTTTGCTGGAGGTACTTCAGCAGTAAGTGGGACAGAATTTCTGATCTCAGTGCTATTTCCAGGAGTCCCCTCCCCCCACCCCCATTTCACTGTCTGTGTGCATGGTAATCACACCTATCCCGCTCATCCACATTATGTCTGCATGAGCAGTCCACTCCCGAAGGCTTTTTCCTGGTTTAAAAATAGCTTTGAGGCAAAGAAGCTCTCTATCTTCTAGGCTTGTATCCATGCAATTGCCAGTTTTCAAATTAAGTGACAAGCATTGATGCTTCATTGAAAAACAAAATAATCAGCTTCATAAGTTTTTTTTTCCCCAAGACCTAAAATAAATCCAGATCCAACTGTGGGTTTCTGACGGCTCTTGGGAGCCCTTGCTAATTACACATTGACTTTGCCACGCTAATTGAAGGTCTGACTACACAGAAAGCTTGTGGGGACTGGTAAAGCAGCAACACTTCTGTTATTTCCCAACAGTTATGCTAATTTTCTTCCCTCAAATCTTCCCAGTGCAAAGAGCTAATCTACCTTTCTTTAGTAACAATTTAAGTACCAATTCTGGGACTACCACTCTTTCCCCCATTATATTTGTTTATATAATGGCAAACGGTGTAGGATTAAGAACAGTACAGTCTACTTCTGGTTCAATTACAGTAAGAAAACATCTTCACTTTATTTTCTTGTTTGTCTAAAAGATTATTTCTTTCTTTTGGCCTTTAAGCCATCTATGACAGATTGAGTCCCAAATAAGATATAAAAATGTAAGCATGACATTTTTATTTTTTATTTTACACATCCAATATAGCAACATAGTATTACTATTCAGAATTCAAGATTCTATTCCAAACTCAATTGCACACATTAAAGCAGAAAGAATGTCTAAACTGGATATCACCAATATAAGCAACAATATGCACTATTTATAATAAGGAAAATAATAGGTTTAGCTCTGTGAGGAATTACAGTGAGGTTGGTAATCTAGTAACAGTAATCACTAGATAAAAGATAATATTCCCAGATACTGAGAATAATTCAGCTGACTTGGTCTTCAAAGTTTAGATAGCCACAGAGTAAGGAAATCCTATATTTCCGGGGGGTGGGGTGGGGGAGTGGGCAGAAAGGTTGTGTGTTGTTTTTTGTTTTTGTTTTTTTTAGGAAGGAAGAGAGAGAAAAAGTAACTTTGATGTGAGAGAAATACGTCAATTGGCTGCCTCCCGCACACACCCCAATCAGGGATCAAACCCCACAACCTAAGTATGTGCCCTGACCAGGAGCTGAAGCTGCGACCTTGTTGCACAGGATGACGCTCCAACCAACTGAGCCACACCAGCCAGGGCAGGAGATCCTATTTCCCTAAGCCTGCAGCCAGTGAGGAACAAAAGACATTTACTAAAAGCCTACTATGTGCCAGGCACTTTTCACGTTTCATTTCATTTAAAGTAAAAAATAGTACATATCACTTTTAAAGAATGTATACAGCATAAAAAAGCATTTGCAGTGCAGAACTTTTTCTTGGATATGATTAAGCACAGGTATAGTGATTTTATCTTATTGTGAACATGAGAATACACAAATACTGCCTGGATGTTTCCAGAATGCACAAAAGCATCATTGTGTAACATAAAATTGAAGTTAAATAAATTTTAATCTACCAACTAAAGAAAATAGGTGGGAAAGAATAATTGCAGTTCCGCCAATCCCAGGAACCAAGTTCACCCGTGTGTCAAAATGAGTAAGTAAATCACGGTCTGTCTTACCTTGGAGGTGACATCAATCCCAGTGATGAAACTGCCAGCCTTGTTTTCATATCTTCTGCTTGTGTCCTAACATGAGGGGGAAGAGTAAGAAATGCTGACAGCAACTGATGAAGAAAAATTCATAAGAACAGCTGATGCCTTTGGGATAGTCCTTCTCTCGAGCAATCCCCCCCCTTCCCCCCCCCCCCCCCCCCGAGAAAGCCCATCGCAGGGACTATCGTGGCAGTCACCACGCTAAGAAGTCACTTCTAGCTTAGAGCCTGTCCAAACCTTAAACAATTCCATCCACTGAAGGTGTCATGTAAGTGGAAATCTACAAGCTTTTGTGAAAAGCACCCAAGATGAGGCGCAGTCACCTATCTCCCCAACCCAGCCCGGCCCAATGCATCACCCCGGCCACGAGGTAAATGAAGCACAAGTCTTCATCAAATTCAGACAATCCGGACTGGCCCAGACCTTCGGAAAACACAGCACAGGGCCATGAAAAGAGGGTGGGATCGGGAAACCCGGGACTGAGGAGGCAGCTCTGACGTTCACAGACGACATGACACCTCACAGTTCCTTTGGCCACTCTGGGCCTAGGTGTCCTACATGGTACCTGCCCACCTTCCCGACCTCTCACTGCTCTCATATCTGTTCCCCAACAAGACAATCTTGTGCCTGTCTGAGCCTTCTGCTTACTGAGGTCCCTATTGGAGACACTTTCTTCCAAATCTGCACACGGCTGGGTTCTTCGAGTCACTGAGGGTTTGGCTTAAATGTCACCATCTCAGAGGACTTCCCGGACCATCCTACCCCATGCAGCTTCCCGCCCTGCACACCCTCCCTGCCCTCTGCACTCTCTATGCCATTCGCATGCTCTATTCTTGTCACAGCATCCACCACTGTCCGAAATTACTCGTTTACTTGTGCCCCCCAAATTGGAACATAAACTTCGGGAGGGCGTTTAATCTTGATCAAGTGCCTAGGACTGTGCCCGGCACACAGAGTGGGGGAGGCCATCGGTGTCCGACTGAATGAGCACAAGGGAGGACACACATACTTCCCAGCTGCGGTGATATTGAAATGGCTTCATGGAGTAAATGGTAAAAATGACACTGTTAATTATTGTTACCCAAAGGCATCAGTGAACCACTTTCACCCTTCCCCATAATTTCAGTTTAACACCAAGGCTTGCTGACTTGGTAAAAAAAAAAAAAAAAAAAAAAAAAAAAAAAAAAAAAAAAAAAAAAAAAAAGTCGTTCCTTCGTGTCAGGTGAGCCATGAAGGGCCTGAGAAGGGCCATGGAGGCCTGAGACCGGCCCCAAGAAGCGGGCAAAGAACCCCCGAAACACAAGCAAAACACCGCGCACCGCCAAAACCGGTTTGGCTCAGTGGATAGCGTAGGTCTGCGGACTGAAGGGTCCCGGTTCGATTCCGGTCAAGGGCATGTACCTTGGTTGCAGGCACATCCCCAGTGGGGGCTATGCAAGAGGCAGCTGGTTGATGCTTCTCTCTCATCGATGTTTCTAACTCTCTATCCCTCTCTCTTCCTCTCTGTAAAAAAAAATCAATAAAATATATTTAAAAAAACAACAACAACGCCAAGCACCATCCCCCGCAGGTGATAAAAGGCGGACGGAGATCCACTGCGCATTGGCGGATGTTTTGGTTCCAGGAAAGGTCCGGTGTCAGGGCCGGCGTGAAGGGGCTCCAGAGCCGGGGGGGCTGCGCGGGGGCAAGATGACCCTCAGGCCACCCCCGCAACACGGAGCTCCCATCGCTGTCAAGCCCAGCCCTCCCGGGAGAAAGCCGGGGCGCTCCGTCTACCAGACACCAGCCGCCCGCAGCGGGACCGCCAGGAGCCCGGGGTGCCGGCCGCTGACAGTGCCCCGCGGTCCGGGCCGCTCGGGGTTCGGTTCCCGCCCAGACAGCCCGGCCCCTCCGCGCTCACCCCCGGGCACAGGCTGGCTCCGAGGGGCGGGAAGGGGACGCCCCTCACCACCCTCCAGCGCTCCCACCCCCCGCAGCCCCTCCGCACCCATTTCCGGGCGCCCCGCGTCCTTCCTCTCGCTCCGGGTCTCTCCAGCCGGGCGTCCCCGCCCCCCGGGCGCTCGCTCCCCTCTCTCCTTCCCCCGACTTTCCGCGGCCGGGCAGCCGGCCGCCTCCCCTTCCGGCCCGTCCAGGCGCGGGACGCTCGCTCGCCCGGCGACCTCCCCCCTCGCCTCCCGTACCGGGATCAGTTCTTTCAGCGAGCGCCGCACCGGCACCATCTCCAGCTCGCCCTCCTCCACCTCCATGGGCTCCGGCTCGCCACGCTCCAAACCGGACTCCGCCTCAGGCGACGGGAGCCCCAAGGCCAGCCCCGCCGAGGCCTCAGCCTTCACCGACACTCGCAGGCCCCGGACGGCCGCCATCGCCTCCCGCCCGCCGGCCGCACCACTGAGAGCCCGCCCCGCACACCCGAAGGCTAGAGCGCCGTCGCTACTGCCACCGAGCAGCCGCCTCCGCTGCCTAGAGCGTCGCCCGCTTCGCTAGAAGGCCCCCTCCCTTCCCCCCCTCCGCTGCAGCGCCGCGCCCCCTGGTGTCGGGAGGAACCCGGCGGGCTGCAGTAGGACCTGGGAAGGAGGAGGCCGGACCGAATGGGGACGAGGGTGGGGCCTGTTAGAGGGGAGGGGCATGGAAAAAAATCGGGGTAGTCTGGATTTAGAAAACGCTTTAAACCTGCAATGAAAGCTAGTTTTACTGTGGTCATTATGTGCCAGTGACTATTCCAAGCCCTTCACTCCTACAACAGCCCTATTAAGTAGGTACTGTTAATCCCATTTCACGTGGAAAGAAACTGAGGCACACAAATTTACCCAAGGTGACAGGCTATCCAATATAATAAAAGGGTAATATGTAAATTGTCCCCTTCACTGGGAGACCAGAGGGCAGGGCTCCCCCAATCATCATTCCCCATCAGGGCAGGCCTGCTGGACCCCACCTGTGCATGAATTTGTGCACCAGGCCTCTAATATAAGGGATCAAACCTGAATCTGAGCCTAGGCAATGAGGCTCCAGAGTCCAGAATGAGCTTGGGTCTATGATGTCTGAGCAGTCTGTAGGTTTACAGTGTACTTGCCTTGCCACCCTATGTCTCTTTCAAGTCTCCCAATAATGGACCCATTTTACATACACAGAAATGGAGGCTCCAAGAGCGTAGTGAGCTGCCCAAAGGCCAGAATCTTCCTGACTCCTGAGGGCCAAAAATCACTGTCTGAAGTTCTGAACATGGTTTCTGGCATGTTCTAACAAGAGCCTGGTGGGGAGCGAGGGGGTGTCTGTAGGCTCTCAGAGGGCTCCACTGGTCAGTTTTTCCTCTGAGCCCTGACTTTGCACCTTACACCCTATGTTATCTTGGGCTAGTCTGGCCCCTTTCTGGGCCTGTCTTCCCACCTCAGAGAGTGTAGATGGGGTCATAGGGTCTCAAAAGCCCTATGTGCTCTGACCATGGAGAAACAGTCAATTATATATTTTTTAAAATATATTGATTTTTTTTACAGAGAGATAGAGAGTTAGAAACAGCGATGAGAGAGAAACGTCGATCAGCTGCCTCTTGCACACCCCCTACTGGAGATGTGCCCGCAACCAAGGTACATGCCCTTGACCAGAATCGAACCCGGGACCTTTCAGTCCACAGGCTGACGCTCTATCCACCGAGTCAAACCCGTTTTGGCGCAATTATAAACCAAGCGAGAACACGACCAGCATCAGACACACCTGGGTTTCAAGGGGGCAAGCCGTGTGATCGTGGGCAAGCCGCTTACCCATCAGCACCTCAGTGCCCTCAGCAGCCATATGGGACAATCTCACCCACCCCCAAAGGAGGCCGTGGAGGTGAAATGAGATAAGTGTAGCCACCAGTTCACAGTGGGACTTAACTGAGGTCTGTAAGTTGGTTGGCCCTCGGGGACTTTGACGAGACCAATGTGCACGAAGGGGGAGGTAGCGTAGAGATGGAATTGGAGGAAAGTGTGGACAACTCTCTTAGAAATTTGTGAAGATGGGGGCTAAGGGCCAAGGAGGGTATTGAGGGTCTTCTAAAAGTTTGGCTGAAATTGACCAGTCCCTCTCCTTTCTCCCACCCTCTCCCTTCTAGGGAGGAGGGGAATACCTAATGGAATCCTACCTCTCCTGGGATAACACAGGGAAAAGTCACTAGAAGGTAATATCAGCTCCCGTGGTGAAATCAGATGCTGGCGGAGGACTGGTAACCCGGTCCACGGGCCCGAGGCGGTGTCCTGCTGACTCACGCAGAAGTGCTCTTCGATGCGATTTTAAATCGGACACCCACAAACCCACGCCCCCCGTTCGCGTCCTTGGCCTAGTTGCAGGTCGGTGGTTAAGGAAACCCGCCTCCAGTTAAAGAGAAGGCCGCTGACCCTGCCGCAGGAGGGCGTCTGTGCTCTGCACTACCCCACGCAGTGAATTATTGAGAGGACTGTCCTCCCTCGCTTTCCGCGTGTGACCTGACCACTCAGCATCACTGACACCGAGGGCCACTCCCGAGTTCTGAAACCACACACTCCTTATATGGTCACCCTGGGTTTCCCTCTCACCTCCCAGCGGCCCCTGCTCCGGTGCATTTTCAGTTCTTCCTCTTCCCCCAGGGCTCACCCCTGGGTCCTCTTTCTTCTCACCCCAGACACCTCCCCGAGGCCATCATCACACCCATGGCTTCCAGGTCCACTGCCCATCCCTCCCCTGAGGACCTCCCAGTCTCTGTGGCCAGTTCTCCCCTCTCCTCTGAGCTCCAGCCCGTCTGTCTAAATGCCTCCCTCACTTCTTCCCTGGAACTCCTCAAGGCACCTCAGACGCACCTCACCTGAGACTCAGACTCCCACTTCCAAGCCAAGTCCTTTCCTAGTATGTTCCCAGCTTCCCTGATCAGCACCAGAGTCCATCCAGGTGTGCACCTCAGACGCACCTCACCTGAGACTCAGACTCCCCCTTCCAAGCCAAGTCCTTTCCTAGTATGTTCCCAGCTTCCCTGATCAGCACCAGAGTCAATCCAGGTGTGCAATCCCCCACCCCCGTAGCCAGGCCACTCAGAATTCTTGTCTGGCCTCCCACATCTCTCTCGTGTCCACCTGTTCCTTCCCATCCTCTCGGCTGCCACCCCTCAGCTTTTTTCCGTCCCGGCCGCCATCCTATCATCTCTGGTCTGGACATTGGAGTGGGCTCCTCGCTGGTTTCTCTGTTTCCCCCCGTCCTCCGCCCCCATCCCTCCTCTATGCACTGCAGCCAGAGTGACCTCTTCAGCACACTGTGCAGCCCTGCCACCTGCGCCAGCTTCACTTTGCACTCCTCTCCTGCTCACTTCCCAGCACCACCACTTCCCTTCTTGGAAAGCACTGTCCCTGCTAACCACAGGGCCCTTGCACAAGCTGGAGTTTTCTCCCCTCCTCCTTGGCCTAGCGAGTTCTTCCTCAGCCTCAGATCTCGGCTGGAGCTTCCCTTTGGCTGGAAAGCCCCCCTAAGTACTCTCAGAGAGCCACCACCGCGGGCCTTTCCTGCAGCATTGCCCACATCGGTTCCAGAATCAGGATTTTTTTAAAGTGCCCGAGGGCCTAGGCGATGCTAGCAGAGAGCCAGGTTGACAACTACTGTTGAGACTGAATTGGGAGGGGCAGACCACAGCCCGGAGCCTTCTTGGCGTTGGGGTGGGTGGAAGTCGGCACAGATTTACTGAAAGCAGGAGAGGGGCGCTCCTGAGGGCCGGGGGTCTCCTCCCAGGAAAGCTCCGCCACCTTGAGGCTGGTGCCCAGACTCGGGGAGGCCAAGCCTGGAGTGTAAGCACCCCCTGCCTTGTTTCGGTCCTGCATTGTTCTGGTTCATTCTTCAGCATAGACCTGCACCTAGGTCATGAGGGGAAGGTCGTGGGGAGACCAAAGGACGGCGGGGGTCAAAGGGCACGCAGTGAGCTGCGGCTAGCACAGACAGTGACCAGTCCTGCTGGAGATGGCACAGAGCCAGTGCCGACAGCATCTGAGAGCGAAGGCAGGAGGGGCTGCCTCCTGCGTGCCAGGAGAGTGGGGCAGGGGGCGTTGGAAAACGGTGGTGGTGGAAGTCTGGGCCTGAGCTAGGTTATAGGCGGAGGAGCAGGAACAGAGGACCGGAAAAGGCCAGAGATATGCAGGCCCGAGAAGGAGCTCACAGGGATCCGTTGGAGAGAATGGGGTTCCCAGAGGGAAGGCGCCATTCCTGTGATCCCACGGAGAGAGGCTCTTCCGGTGGCCTCCGCTGCGACGGAGCCGTGAGCGGGCAGATGGAAGTTGTGGAAGTTCTAGTTCCCGGTCCCCGATAACAGCCTTGGAGGAGGGGGGCCAGACTCCGGACCACATGCCCAGGTTCCTCTGGGGCTGTGGGCCAGGGAAGACGACCTGGAGGAGGTGACTTGGAGAGAGCGGGGGGCTGGGCAGTGGGGAAGGCAGGGAGAGGGACTGCAAAGCCAGGCGGGCTAATGACAAATGGGTCAGTCCAACCTGCGTGGGGACTGGCAGCTGCCCTGGAGGGTGAGCCGGGACCCAGACTGTATTTCCCGGGCCATCCTCGCTGGAGAAACAGATGTGGCTGAGACCCCCGAGGGCAGAGCCAGGTCTGTATGTGTGTGGGGGAGGGGACCAGGAGCAGGAGAGCGTCATTTAGGCTGTGGATGCCCAGGCCAGCGGGAGGCTGGAGCGGTGCAGGGAGTCCTTGCAGGCCGGGGACTGCCCTGCCGGTGAGACCAAAGGCAGGCCCCATGGCCGGCTCTCCTGGACCTCAGTGGGCCCCTCAAGCCCAGGCCTGCTTACGTGCCCGAGGAGAGGCTGTGTAGGTGTGCCAGCCTGTGTGTGTGGAGGAAGGGAGGGGGGGCAGTGTGGGAGGAGAGGGGTGACCTGTGGATGTTTACATGAGTCCCAGTATGTGTCAGCATGTCTCCTTGGGAAAATTGGAACCCTCAGTGGCCCTGACCATTCTCTAACAGACTGAGACCTCATAGGATGATCGTGTAGGGGGAGCAGAGAGCAGGCCGAGTGCCTGAGGGATCTTCCAGAGAGAACAGCAGGGCTGCTGGCAGGGCCTCGGATGCCAGGCTGAGCACTGTTGGGAGCACAGGGTTCTGAGAAGGCTGGGTAAGCTCAGGTGAGCATCAGGATCAAGTGGCAGCTGGCGAGAGGGCAGGTGGAGAGCTGAGGACCAAGGCCAGGAGACCGGTGAGGCAGTGAGAGGTGGTGGGGCCCCAAGTGGAGGGGCTGCAGCGGTGGGGAGCAATGGGGTACGGGAACCCTACTCATCGCTTCTGGTGATGGGGAATTTCTGCCTCACCTCCAGCACCCCTCCTGGAGAGACCTTCCCAGGATGCCCGGGGAGCGGGCAGAAGCAGCTCTGGCCTCCCTCTCTCCGATGGAAAAGCTGGTCCCCACGCCAGGCAGCCTCTGGCACGGTCTCCCTCTGCTTGGCGCTCCACAGACGGGCAAACACGCGGCCTGTGCCGAACCTGCAGCCCCTGAGGCTGGTTCCGGGCAGCCCCGGGGCAGGACGTCCTGTTTTCCTTTGCAGGGTCTCCGAGTGCCCACGCTGTGCCAGGTGCTGTCAGACACTTGGCACGGGACTTCGTTTAACCTCAGAGAACCCCGAGGAGGCGCTATTATCCACTTTCCATCGATAAGGAAACTGAGACTCCTCCAACGACTTGCCGAGGTCACAGGACGATTAAATGGCAGAGCTGGATCCAAGTTCAAGGCTGCCTGACCTCAGCGATGACTCTGCTCATCGTGGCTGCGAGGGCCCTGGGATCGGTCCAAAAACCCCAGGCCGGGGCCCAAGGCTAAGGGGGCACAGGGAGGACACGGGGCCCGCATCACAGGGCTCCGATAAGGCTCCACAGGGACTCTGGCCACACGGGGAGCAGACAGCCCCCGAGGACCAGACCCCAGCACCCTGGGCCCCTGTGAAACAGGCCGGTGCCTCACAGGCAGCCCATTGGCTCCCAAACACCCTGCTGCTCCAAGTAGGAGCCGCAGGACTTGCTCAGCAGCCTGAGCCAATCCTCCCCCCCCTCCCTCCCATTCCCCCCAGAGCCCCTTCCACCGCGGTCCTGCTCAGACCTTCCCAGAAATGCAAGCACAGCCAGAAAATGGCGAGAAAACACACCCAGAGGCACAGAATATACCCGCAAAGTGCTGTTGTCTTAACTCAAGAAAGGGCTTTTTATTGTTTTTTAAACTCACTTCCTGAGAAGTTAACTTTTAAAACACTCTTACGGAGTTTACTCATCGCTTGTGCTACATTCAAGAGCGAGGCCAACCCGAACCCACGGCGGTGGGGCCAGCGCGCCCCCCGCCCGGGCTGTGACCCGGCCACCGAAGCCGGGCTCCCCTTGGAGCTCTGCCAGGGCGAGTCGGATGGACAGCGCCCCCTGGAGACCCCGCCCGCCGGGCCCCAGCGCAGGGACGCTCAGAAGCAGCGTGCAGGCCGGTGACCGGCCTCCCGTGAACCCTGTGATAAAGTGTTCTTACAAACAGTACCGAGCCGGCTCCGTAAGCCCTGGTTGCCATGCCTTGTGGAGAGGAGCCGGGGAGGAACGTGGACCCGGTGACTACGGGCCACCTGTGCTCCTGGTCTTACACAGACGTAGAAACTATGTTACAGATGCATGTGCCAGGGCAAGACATGCGAGTGTGCTGTGCAGCAGATGGGCGCGCACATGCGTGTGCGGAGGCGTGGCGGGCACCCACGGGCACGGAGACGCGCGGGGCACCCTCCTTCGGCCCGGCCTCCCTTTTCTTCTGGGCACAAGTCCTCCTGTGAGATGAAGCCCACGCCGGCCGCTGTCACGCGCGCTGGGTTGGCCCACGTGTGCAGGAGAGGTATCTGAGTCCTGCTTTGCTTTCCTTCGGAGGTCAATCTCTGGAGCGTCCCGAGGTCAATCAGCACACACCGAGCCATCGAGTAGTCCCACGGGTGCCAGTATGTCTGCCCCCGCCTGGTCGAGTCGACACGCACACACCCTCCAGCCCTCCGGCTCAGGGCAGGCTGGATGATGACCGTCCCGGGTGAGGCAGCAGCCCTGCCTCTCCATGGCCGCCTGCCAGCGTGCACGCCCCACCAAGGCCCGGCTCTAGGGCGGCCTTCACCGTGGGCAGTTTGTCCTTCCCAGAGCGGGAAGCCGGTTCCAGGGTTGGAGACTGGGTTCCAGTTGCTTCGGCATCTGCGAGGCCACGGCCCTGGGAGTCCAGGGCTCTCATGCCACGTTGGCCCCTGGTGTCCCTTCTGCCGCCAGGGCTCCGAGGAGCCACAGAGGGAGGGATGCGGGCAGGGAAGACGTGGTGTTCCTGGCTCAGGTCTCAGCTCAGAGTCTAATTCAGCCCTTTCTCTGGCTAGTGCTGGGGGTGCCATGCCATCCAGCAAGGTCAGCTCAGCTCACCTGGGTGCATGTAAAGGTGGGGTGCACTAGGAACCGCCCACAACTGTGGAGAGGTCATTTGCGTTCCCAAGCAGGTCTTGGTAGCCCCTTGCCCTCATGTTAAAAACAAAAGCAAAAGACAACAAAAGGAGAATGGGAATTCTCCAATACCGGCCCGTGCCCCAGCGAGGCCCCGGAACACCCATCAGGGATTCAGAGACTCCACACCAGTGTTCTCAGCAGCGCCCCCCATCCCCGCCGAGGTGGCAGGGCACACCCCTCCATGTGCGTGGCAGCTGAGCCCGGCCTGCCCAGCCCCAGCAGGATGTCTCTGCAGCCGGGGTAAGCCAGGCCTCCTCCTGCCATCTTGGTTTCTTGCCTTCTGCCCCTGGGCCTTGCCGATGAGCCACGGGCTCCGTGGGGGGAGCCAAGACTAGGAGGAAGGCTCGAGGGAGCCCTGCCCTCCAAACACCAGATGACGCGCCTTACCATCCTGTCTCAGACACGCGCAGAGGTCATGCAGCATGACGGGGGAGGGGAGCCAGGAGAGGGTCCACGGCCCCCAGCCCCCTGCCTGCAGGGGCGGCGGTCGGCATGAGTGCAGGGGCTTTTGGAGGCGCAGGATGAGCGTGCTGCTGGCTGGCCCTGGGCGCATGCAGGGAGTCAGGACGCAGTCTCGTCTTCTTGGACGCCAGGGAGCTCCGGGCTCTTGATGCCTTCGCCACACCCGTTTTTCCTGTTCGAGGGACCCAAGGGGCAGAGGGACCTCAGGGGTCGGAACACACACTCCTAAAGGATACCCCCCGACACACACACTCATGGGCATCCCAAGCTCACCTTCCTGCATCGTGACCCCCTGCTGGTCTCCCTGCCCCAAATCATGGCTTACAGCACCCTCCACGGCTCCCTATTGCCCAGAGATGAAGTCTGGAGCCTCACAGGATCTGACCTGGCTGACCTCCCTGCGCCCTCACAGGCCCTCCATGGTGGCCTAGATCAGCCCCCACAGTCTCAGGAAGGGGGCTCTGGCTTTACGTTTTCTCTGTCTTGTGCACAGATAGAGTGACCTGTTCATCTTGGGATGATGTCACACGTTCCATAGATTCCAGTATCTGACTTCCCCCGTCAAGACCTCACTTTTTAAAATGACTAACCAACGGGTTTGAGATCTTAAAAAAGGATCCATCCCATTTAAATTAACTGTAGAGCTTCAACAATGATCCCAAGGCATGCAAAACAGTCAATCGGGGGCAAATTGGGGACTCTCTTAAGATGTAAAACCTGCCTTTCAAAATTAAACTTGGGTCACAGAATTATAGAATTTCATAGCTGGAGAGTATTAGGCCCAAAACCTAATAAAGGGAACTGGTCTGTCTCCCCATGAACATGTACATAAAAGGACAATGATTCCCTTCCTCACTTGCACTCCAGCCCTGTGCCAGGCATAGACTAGGTGGGTACAGAATGTCTTGCGCCTGTGACTGGCCTGTCCCACCACTAGGGGGCGCTGAGTCACAGGCACTGAGCTTGGCTGTCCAGATGGCCAGGTTTGCTGGCATGGCTTTGACTATGCGTGTAGTCCTGGCATAGTTAGTGATAGCTTCCTCTCTCACTCTCAGAAGTGGCTGCATTGGATGCTAAGTAGGTGATCCCCTGCACTAAGCCCAATTCTATCACCGAGGCTTGCAGACCTAGAGGAGTCAGGGGGAGCCCCTTCCCAGCCCTGGCCAACTTACGGAAGAGACAAGGGAATGGGAAGTTCAGTGACTTCGATGCCTCGCCCAGACTCTACTCCTCACCCCTCACTGACCAGAAAGTTTGTCATGAGGAGGAAAAGAGGTTGGTATATGGACATCCCTGCGGGTAAGCAACCCCTGGCAGGGAGCAGACCCCAGCTTGTCCATGATGAGGGGACCTGGCACTTCTAAAGGGCCCACTCATGAGAGGGCGGCCTCCCAGAGTCCTTGTCTGGGCCCCTGGACAGCACAAGCGAACAAGCTCCTTCCTGAGAGGCCGCGGTACCTGGACTGTGTCTGGCTCCCTCTCTGGGGAGCACGCTTTCCCCACACAGCAGGCTGGAAACACAGCTCCTCTTCCTGGCAGCTCCCTTCCCAGCTAGAGGAAGGCACCGCGTCCCAGGGCCGAATGCGGGCCCAGGACCCTCGCCTGGCTTTCTGTCTGCAGCTCTGTGCGCAAACTCCTTGTTGGCATCCCCCAACTGGCTTTTATTTCATTTTAGTGGGAGAAGATGGACAAGCTGAAGACCAGGCTCTCGGAGGTTGGAGGAACTGCTTTTTGACTTCTAGCAGGTGGTGACTGCACATGCCTGGCTCACAGCAGGGAGCCCTCAGCAGAGGAGGGTTCCTCTTCCCTGGCCCGGGCAGCTGGCCTGTCCATGCTCACTTGCTGAACAAGCGTTTCCAGAGCGCTGACCAGGCACAGGGCCCCAGCAATGGCTGGAGGGAGCGTGGGCCCCTCGGGAAAGCAGCCAGCACTGCCCCACGCCCGGAAGTGGGCAGAAGCGCCCTCCCTCCACAGCCAAGCCACCCTTCTGTGAGGAGCAGACATGAGGCCTTGCTGCAAACTCTACCATGGGCTGAGGAACGAGGTGCAAACGGGGCACCTCGGAGGCCCAGCGGAGTCTCCCGCTGAGGAGACAGAGGGAAGCGAGGTAGACAGGGACCAGGACCAGGACCAGGACCAGGGCGGGGGAGACAGAACCAGGGAACCCAGCCAGGCGGAGTTCCTAAGACAGCCCAGCTGGGCGGGAAAGGAGGGCACATGCGGAGACATGTATAGATATCACCAAGACAGGCAGCTTGCAAATAACCAATCACAAGGCAGCAAGGCGTGCAGCTAATCCCAAGAAGATTACTAAGGCAGAAGTCTTTGAGCCAATCAGAAGCTAGCAGGCATTGTACAAAAGAGTGTGCGCTCGCTCTCTCTCCCTCTCTCTCTCTCCCTCTCTCTCTCTCTGTTGTTCTCCAGCCTGCTAGGTTCCTGGCTCCTGGGCGGTGAGCCACCTGGGACTCACCTCATAGAACTAACAGATTTTAACCCACTTGGATGCTGAACTACACCCCCCTGCCACATGGACCCTGGCCTGCTTTGGGGACCCCAGCTGTACCTTTTCCAGGACTGGCTTCTCTCAATAAACTCTGCTTCCACTGACCCCTTTTGTCTGCGACTCCATTCTTCAGTTTGGTGAGACAACAAACTCGGACTCAAACCCCACAGTTTAGTTTGAGCTCAGCCTGCACAGCCCAGGGACGGTGACCCGAGGGAGGATGTGCCCGCCCCCCGCCCCACCCCAGGGGGTTCCCTGCAGGTCTCAGCCCATCGGTACTTACAACAGTACGTTCCCTGGAGCAGACGTGGATCGCTCTTCCTTTCGTGCTTGGGGCTCAAACGGGTTCCCAAAGGAACGCTTTCTCAGCATGGACTTAACCAGGATCTAGGGAGGGCACGTCAGTCAGCAGGAGGGACACAGGCCCCGAGCGCCAGACCCACCGCAGCCTCTGCGCGGACCCCCTGGGGGCAGCTGCTTTCAGTGGGCAGGGAAAGGAAGAGCATTCCGGCAGAGGGAAGGACAAGGGCATGGAGGAGGATGGCTGAGGGTGAATTCTGGGAATTGGCAGAAACCCGGTGCAGCTGGCGTCTGGGGGACTCAGAGGCCAGAAGGAGACCTTGAGGGGCCTGGGATGCCAAGCTGAAAGTGGGGCTTTATCCTGAGGGCCTGGGAAATGCCTTTGAGCTGAGGCGGGAAGATGGAGTGAGGAGTGCTAGTGCCGGACAGCGAGAGGAAGCTGTGCAGCGGCCTGAGGGGCATGCCAGAGAGACGGCTGCACCCGGCTCTCCGACTCTGTCCCTCCTCCTGCAACAAGGACAGGTCCAGGAAAGCCAGCAGAACAGTGGCCTCTGGCCTAGCATCGGGCTGGCCCACCAGGCGGCCTCCTAAACCCCCACAGAGAGCTAGTCTCAGGCGATGGCCACGCCCTCCTCCCAGGAGGCCCTCACCCTCTTACCACTGTGGTCCAGCTGGGGATGAGCTTGACTGAGTTCTTCACCTCCTCCTCGGTCACCTCCACCACGCTGCAGTGCTCCTCCTCTGAAGGGAGGGGCTCCTCCCCATTCTTGGTCACCCACGGGTGCAGCTGCGAAGTCGGGAGGGTGGGGGGGGGCAGGGACACACGTACAGACACTCAGTGAGCAGAGGCCCGTGGGCATGCCACCAGCAATAGCCTTGTGGGAGCCCAATGCCCACCCACCCACAAGGCCTGGGGTAGGGCTCTCCACAGGAGAAACGGAGGCCCATGGCTCCCCCACCTTGATGTCCGGCACCCCGATTCTCCTTTCGGGATTCTTGTCTAGCATCTTCAGGATCAGGTCCTTGAGCTCCTCGCTGACCTTTGGCCTGAAGAGAGGAAGGAAGGAGGTGAGGGGGGAGATGGTTGATGAGGATCCTTCCCTTCCCACCTCTCCCTCCCCATCCTGCATCAGGGGTTCCGATTAGCACCCCAGGGCAGAGACACACCCAACTCTCATTGCTCAGACAGCAGGGGGCACCCCCAGGGATCCCCCCTGGAATAATGTGAAAAGAGTCACTTTATAAGACACCAGGACAGCCAAAACCGGTTTGGCTCAGTGGATAGAGCGTCAGCCTGCGGACTGAAAGGTCCCGGGTTCGATTCCGGTCAAGGGCATGTACCTTGGTTGCGGGCACATCCCCAGTGTGGGGTGTTCAGGAGGCAGCTGATCAATGTTTCTCTCGCATCGATGTTTCTAGCTTTCTATCCCTCTCTGTAAAAAATCAATAAAATATATTAAAAAAAAAAAAAAAAGACACCAGGACACCTTTACTGCCACTCACTGTCTTAGCCCCTCCTCCACCTGGGAGGTGGCAGGAAAGATTCTCACACGACAGAGGAGACCGAGGCTGGAGAGGTGAGCGGGTTAGCACATGGCTGCCCAGCAGAGTGAGGGCAGGGAGGAGGGACTCAGGGATGGGGGCCCAGGACCGTCTCTGCCCAAACTCTGGGCTTCTTTGTTCCCATCCTTGGGGAGCCCATCCCTACCAGCCTGCAGAGGGAACCCACTCTTGAAGTCTGCTGGCCCTGGTGCCCTCTGCTGTCCTAGGTCCTGACTCCTGGCGGGGAGAACGCCGGCCTGGCAGGGGTGCTGCAGGAGCAGAGGCCCAGGAGACTGCAGCTGCCTGGGGCTTCGGGGCAAGGAGGCTGTGCAGTGGCGGGACTCAGACAGCCCGGAATGCCGGGGCGGGGCCTCTGCCTGTGGGCGTTGGGAAGCCTCACACAAAGCTGAAGATACGGTGAGGTTTATTGTGCTTTATCGGGGTCAACCTGGCCCCACTGTGGTGGCTGGACTGGATGGAGGCTGGCGGCCAGGAGACCTCGGCAGGCGCCCAGGTGGCAATGCAGCCAAGAGATATAAGAGGTGGACTTCACAGGGCGTGGGGACCAAGCAGGCAGTGGGCATGGGAGAGCAGAGGTCCCTGAGGAGAACCCTAGGTTGGCTTGTGACCTGCCTTGGGCACCTGGGGCAGACGGCAGAAGGCCCTGAAGACGGAGGCGCCTTGTTAGCCAGCGTCATTATCAGAACCGTGGATGGGCGGGGCGGCCTCTCTATCCAGTCCCTCTGGGCTCGAAGACCTCATCACAAAGGGAGGGAGGGAGGAGGGACTGGCTTCACATCCCAGGCCCCACTGATAACTCTCCCCCAGGACTCCACTTTTCCAGCACACTGGCATCTGGAAACCCCTGCCCCCCTGTGTGTGTGTGGGGGGGGCGGTGGAGGTTCCCCATGGGTCCAGAGTCTGATTGAGGGGTGCCCTGGAGACCCCCGCCCCCCCAAGGCCTTCTGTGAGGGAGCAATGTAAATGTGTGACATGGTCGCCCTCCCCAGCCTCAGAGCTCCCGCTGCACAGAGACCCATCCGACTCGATGTCTCAGGGGCCCTGACCGAGTCCCTCCTCTGGCTGCTCGGGGCCCTCCCAGCAGCAGCGCCCCCACCTCCAGACCTGCAGGCGGGGCGGGGCCTTCGGAGAGCAGAAGCTCTGCCAGAGACCCGCCTCCCCGGGCTACTCACTCCTCGGGAAACACCACGTCCTCCTCCTTGATCTTCCTGTGCAGGGCCAGGATGTAGTCATCGATGAACGGGCACTGCGGGGGAGGGAGCGGACGAAGGGTGTAGGCCCAGAGCCTTCGCTCGCGCTGGAGGCTGGCCCGCTCCCTCTAGGATCCCATTCGCTGGGAGGAACCCAGTCTCCCTTGTGCAGAGCCTGGCATACAGCAGGAGCTCAACAAACACTAACCAAATCAGTCACCGAGGCGACCCTGAGGCAGGGTGTCCCCACCGGCGTTACCGCGGCCTGCAGGGCAGCCTCCGCCACCAGGCCTGCGATCTGGGAACATGCTCACTGAGGTTCCGCCTGCCCCTCAGGGTGGTCTCTAGAGGGGGAGCACCTGGGGACGGGGACCTCGGGCAAGTCAGTGTCGGGTGTCCCCGAAGCACAGCCTGGCCCAGAGCAGGAGTCAAAACTGACTGGTTGAATGACTGACTGAGAGAATGTGTGTAAACGAATGGCATCAAGGGACAGGAGCCGAAACCGGTTTGGCCCAATGGATAGAGAATCGGCCTGCAGACTGAAAGGTCCCAGGTTCGACTCCAGTCAAGGGCATGTACCTTGGTTGTGGGCACATCCCCAGTAGGGAGTGTGCAAGAGGCAGCTGATTGATGATTCTCTCTCACTGATGTTTCTAACTCTCTATCCCTCTCTCTTCCTCTCTGTAAAAAATCAATAAAATATATATTTTAAAAAACAAAACAAACAAACAAACAAAAAACAGGACAGGACACTGAGTGCTCGGCTGGAGTGGTGGCGACTCCACTGTCCGTACCTGCCATCCCGGGATGCTTCCACATGAATCCCCTCCCAAGGGAATAAGAGAGACACAGAAAAAGCCTTTTTTCCCCTCGGTCTTGTCTGAGACAAGTGGCCTCTTTCAAATATCATGTCAGGTTAGCACACAGAGGAAGGGCCCGCTCCTGTCCGCCATCCTGGCTCGGCCGGACCCAGCCTACGGCGCCGGCCCACCCAGCACTCACCTTCCCGTAGACAAAGCAGTACAGCGTGACCCCCGTGGCCCACACGTCCAAGGCCTGGAAAGAGAACAGCTCCCATCAGCCCCCCCAAAACGAATCAACACCCTTTGCCTGCAAGTTCTGGTGGGCTGTGGCAGAGGGCATGCAGGGCACCTCCTTCCTCGGTCATGTGTTCACTCAGCACACACTCCCAGGCCCGGGCTCCACGCCCGACTCTGTGCTGAGCCCTGGGACATGGGGGTGACCAGAACAGGGCCCCTGCCCTTCAGGGATTCCAACTTTCTTTGGAACAGGCCCAAGCTAGATACGCTTTCAACTCAACAGGCGCAGACCTCCTTTACCCACAGGTCACAAGTGCTGTACCCATCACACAGATGCGGCCGGAAACGATGGTGCATGTACACGTGCTAGACCAGCTCGTCATCCTTCATCCCAGTGATCCCCTGGAGAAGCCGCCATATACCTTCTTTCGGACCTTGCCCACGCAGAGGCCTAGTCCGTACCTCCCCCAGACCCCCACGCTCTGGTTCTAGCAGTGGGGGTCTGGGGTGCTCTGTTTCCCCTTCTGGAGCCCCACCTCCGCTCCTGGTATCGGCTTTATCTCGTATGGGAGTATATTCTCCAACCTCTACCTACAGACTCTCGCTACAGATGCCTCATCTGAATCCAATCCAGGAACACAAACAGACGCACACTGACATCATCCTGCAAAGTAACAGGCCTGTTCTCTTCCAAATGTCAAGGTCAGGGAAGAGAGAGGAGCCAAGCTCTTCCAGATGAAAGGACACCAGAGATGTGACAAGGGGATTACGCGACGGGCGCTGGAGCCGGTCCTGAACCAGAACAAGACAGGCTCTGAGGAGGTATCGGGACAAGGGGTGAGATCTGAACAAGGCTGGTTAGATAACAGTCTTCCATCAGCGATACGTTTCCTAATGTGATCACTGTACTGAGGTTATATAAGAGAATGTCCTTGTTCTTAAAAAAAATATATTTGCTGATGTATTTAACGATAAAGGAGGAGGAGGTCTCCAACTTAGCTCTCCAGTGGTTCGGAAGAATGTCATTCACTTCCACATAACTATAGGGAGAGTGGTGAGACGGCATATAGGTCAAATGTCAGTAATTTGTGAATCTGGGTAAAAAATTACACACACACACACACACACACACACACACACACACACACGTATGGTATTATTCTTGTAACTTTTTTCATAATAAATTTGGATTTATATCAAAATTGAAAATTAGCCCAGCTGGCATGGCTCAGTGGATTGAATGTTATCCCATGCCAAGAGGTTATTGGTTCGATTCCCGGTCAGGGCACATGCCTGGGTTGCAGGCTTGGTCTCCAGTTGGGGGCATGCAGGAGGCAGCTGATTGATGTTCCTATTTCCTCTCCCTTCTTCTCTCTCTAAAATAAATATGTTGTTTTTAATTGAAAAAAAAAATCTCTAACTACACCCCTGACCTCTCTCTTGAGCTCCACACCCACCCCCCACACAGGCATCCAAATGCCCTGAGAATGGGCACGTTTGGGGACACACGGAACTACAGCAACCAGCTCAGAAAGCTTTGCCCGCTGCCTCTCACTCAGGAGGAAACCTGAACTTCTAGGCCTTAGCACTGCCCAAGCCCCACGGTGCCCCAAGCCTGTGTCCCCATGTTCTCTGGGCCCCACCTCCTCCTCAAGTCCTCCCCATTCTCCAAAGCCTAGTTCAAACCCTGCACGTCCAGAAGGGCAGAGAGCTGGCTGTCTGGGCTCTGTCTGCTCCACAGCTCCGTCCAGAACTCAGCACAGAGCAGCTGGCAGGGGCGCCTTGGGGACATTTTGCTGGGACACGAGAGGAGGCCAAAGTTGGGGAGTCTGTCGGACTCTAGGAAGGGGTATTTATGAAGGCAGGGACTGCGTTCGGTGTCACCCCCAAGATATAGGACCCTGGCATCCTCAGTTTGGAAACGAGACCTCGCTGAGAGAAACCCCACCCCTTCCACTGAGCCCCACCCCAGTCCCGGCCCTGGGAGCCACCTTGCCACTGAAGCTCTGGCCGGTATCGGAGATGGCCTCGGGGGCCATGAACGCCGGGGTGCCAGCCGTGCTGGACAGCTGGGCGTCGTTCCCCTCGAACTGGTTGCTGACGCCGAAGTCGGCGATCTTCACGTGCCCGTCGTCCCCCAGGAGCAGGTTGGATGGCTTGATGTCCCTGTGCACGATCTTCTGGCAGTGCACTGCAGAGAGAGGCAGCTGGAGCACCGGGCCTGTCTCAAGCCAGCGAGAAGGCACCCACACACACTCCTCTCCGGAGGACCTCAGAGGAGGACTGCAGGGCCCTCTGCTCTGCTCTGCTCTGCTCTGCAGGGAAGGTACTGAGGCCAAACCAGGCGATCCAGACTCAGGAATGGACTCTTAGGGGCCTTGGGACCCCAAGTTCAGTGCTCTCTCCATGGCAATCAAGGCACCTGTTACCAGGGGGCAGGTCAGAGGAAACTGGGGGAGGGGAGTTCATAGGCCATCTCTGGCTCTGTGTACTGTCTGCAGGCCCAAAGCCTACCAGTCTTTCCCAGTCCCATCCCCCACCCAGACGGTCAGAGATGCTCCCTCCTTGGACTTGGGGTGGGACTGCAGGGCATCCTGCAGAGGCACTGCCTGAGCCCTATGGACTCTGGGCTGAAGGAGATCCAGGGAAGGGGGCGTCGCAGGCCTCGGGCCTGCAAGAGTGCACGTAGCTGGGGAAGGGTCAGCCTTCGCTAGTGGGCTGGGAACTCATCCTGCTTATTGGGCTCAGCACAGCTGGGAGGAGACAGGCAGTTCAGGTTGGGAGAAGGCACTGAGCCCACCCCACTGCCATGCACTGAAGGCTCCTTCCTCAGCGAACACTTTCCCCTGGACAGACAGACCCAGGATGCTGGGAAGGAGGAAAGATGGAAAGGAAAACAGGAGAGAGGAGCGGAGGAGGGGAGGAAAGCTGGGAGCCAAGGGACGGAGTGAGAGAGTGTTCTGTAACGACAACACCACCAATGGTCCCTCAGTGATGGTACCAGATGAGCACAGAGATGTGACGCATACCTATCTGCCTCAGGAGGCTGTGTATTTGACCATGGAAAAATGTCACAAATCCTTCTCTCAAACCCTGGCCTCCGCCCGGAACGCCAGGCTCTCTGTCCACATGGATATCCAGTAGACACCTCAATCTTTCTCAAGAAGATGTCTAATCCAGAGCTCCATTTCCCTGCCGGGAATCCCCACCCAACAAACAAAACAGAAAACCCCTGCTCCTCCTCTAGTCCTTTCCTTTCCGTTAACGGCGTATTACCCGTTGCTCAGGTCGCTCTCTCAGACCCCACAGCCAGCTCATCAGCAAGTCCCATGGGCCCAGCGCTAAGATCTGTTCCAGATCCAGCTGTCTCACGGCCGCACCACCGAACGTGCTCCGTCCAGAAGCACCAGGCTGGACGCTCCCGCCAGAGCCTTCCCGGGCAGTCTCAAGTCTGCCTTCGAGGGGCCAGAACCCCGAGGCTCTTCTCCTGCCTGTCCAGCCCCTGGGCTCACCCGTCCAGCCAGGAAGCCCTTCACCTCGATTAGCTGGGTGTTGATGAGGCTTTGCCTAAAAGTCCGATGGGATCAGCTTGTGTGTTTTTTTTGTTTGTTTGTTTGTTTTTGGGGAGGTTGTTGGGGGGAAAAGAGGGTGGGAGATAGATCCTCAACTGAGAAGGAAGTCCCAGGATAGGAAAGGGGTGGAGGCCAAGCTGGTGCACCCACCAATGACCACCCCCAGAGTAAAAATGCCCCCTGCCTAACCCTCAAGGCCCTTGTTAGAGACTTGCTGCAAAGTCTTCCTCTCTCTCGGTGCCTCAGTTTCCTCATATGCACGAAGAGAATATTAATCTGGGGGCATCTGAGTGGTCCAGATGCAATGAAGACAGTCCTGGCTCCTGTCACCTCCACTGGGCCCTCATCCTGTCCTTCCCCCCACCCCCCCCCCAGGGCAAGACTATGCTCCTGACAAACCAAGCTAAGATCTTAGAGAGACGGGCCCTAAACCAGGCCAGAAGCCCAGGGGTCTGGGGGCCCTCCCCAGGAGTGGTGCTGGCCACCCCACCTCCTGCGTGTCTCCTCCCCACCGCCACTGCCCTAATCCAGGACTCACCATCTGTCACTTGGCTGTGGAAACAGCCTCGTCCCTGACCAGCTGGCCGCCTCCCGCCCTTTCGCCGGCCACCACACAGCTGCCGGACAGAGCTTTCTGAGGTGTAACCCTGGCCCGCCTCTCTGCTACTCAAAGCCTGCGAGTTCACAGCACGCCAGGATGAAGTCACGAATGTCCTCCGTGGAGGCATTCCCGGCCCTCGTGCCTCCACCAGACTGAAGTTCCTCTCTTTCTCAGAGTCCGCACCCACCCAGTGCCTCTGCCCACCCAGTGCCTCTGCCCACCCAGTCTCCCTGCCTCTGCCCACCCTGTCCTCCCTGCCTGCTGTACTTCTCCCACCCATCCCGCAAGCCTGGCCAACGAACTCCTCCTCATCTTCGGGGCCCTGGTCCCAAGCGGCATCCTCCAGAAGCCTCCCGTGCCTCCCAGCTTTGGCAGGCGCTGCACTGTACCAGCTGCCTGCTTAGATTCCGGTCCCTCCTGCTAGGCCATGAGATCCTAGTGCTCACATCTAGGTCCTTGTCAGCCCCCTGCCCCAGCTGTCACTCAGCAGGTCCTCCTAAGTGAGTGAGTCAATAGGAACAAAGGGACTTGGAGTTAGAGGCTAAGATAACATCCTCCCTCCGGAGCTCGTGTCCCTCAGGGCCCTTCACCATAAACCCACACTGCCACCGCCCACAGGCTCCATGACAGACAGGCGCGGAGCGGCTGGACGCACATCTCTTCCTTCCCACAACTCTAGAGGCCCTGCAGAGAGGCTGAGCGCGGCTAAGAACTCAGCAGGGGAGAGATGCAGACAGAACACCCGCGGCGCAGGATGACTTGATGAAGACCAGGCATCAGGAAAGACCTGGCGCCAGCCACGTGAAGTCTGACGCCACCCCCACTAGCCTTTAGGGAGGTTTAGGCCCCGCCCCCAGGTCCATGGCCTCACCCCCAACTGAAGCTGATTGCCAGGTCAGCACTGACTGACAACACCTGCTCAGAGCCTTCTCAGCTTGGGCTCCGCCCCCTCCTGTGTCTTCCACCTCTGTCCCCTGCCCCCTGTCCACTGCCCCGTCTCCTGTCTCCTGTCCCCTGTCCCCTGTCCCAGGCAGCAGGCAGGCTGCCCTCACTCACAGTACTCCAGGCCCAGGATGATGTCCCGCAGGTAGAGGCGAGCTTGTTCCTCCGGGAAGGGCTTGTCGCAGGGCACCTCCATGACGGGCCTGCGGAGGGCGGGGCGAGGGGTGTTGAGCAGAGGCAGACAGCAGGTGAAGGGGGACAGGGGCGGGGACCTTCGGGCCACTTGAGTCCTCCCAGGAGCCCTCTATCCTCAAACGGGTCCCCAGAACCTAAGATAGTAGCTTTTTTCTCCCATAAGTGATAAACATTTAGAAATACACAGACACCAAGACCCCTTCACGGTCACTGTAATTTCAAATTAGCTTTGTCTTAATTTCTGATGGGCATATTCCTTCTTCTAAGTACTGTACTATCTATCATCAAACAGCTGTAAAGGTGCCATAGAGAGCAACCTTTTTCAAACGGCAGGTCCAGACCCAACAGAGAGTCATGAAATCAGTTTAGTGGGTGACTACCCCACGCTGGACCCTGACACTGCCTTTTCCCTGATGAAGTAGAATATCTCCGAGTATATCACGTGTAATAAGGATGGGCGCTGTTTTGTAAAACTTTGGTTTCAGTTATAGATATAAATGGCATTGTGAAACATATTTCTTGCTTGGAATGGAGGTCAAAACATATGAAAGGCCCTGGGCGAGCAGCTCAGTTGTCCCGATACCCCAAGGTGGCAGTTTGATCCCCGGGCAGGTTTGATTCACATACGAGAATCAACCAATGAATGCATAAATAAGTGGAACGGCAAATCGATGTCTCTGTCTCTCTCTCTCTCTCTCTCTCCCTCCCTCCCTCCCTCCCTCCCTCCCTCCCTCTCCCTCTTTTTTTCTCTAATCAATAAATTACAAAAACACACACATTTGAAAGCCCCCGAGTCTTAAAGGGACACCCCTGCCTGTCTCCTCCCCAAATAGGTCTTTAGGAGTCCCCCAGCAGATCGACAAGTGATAGCCTGGGTTCAAGGCCTCAGGAATTAGGGCTTCCAGACCACCCAGGCCCACGGCCACAGTTCCATGGCTGCTGCTCTGCAAATACCCTGCGGCCAAGTCAGGCAGACACAAGTAACCCAGTCCCTGGGTTTCACCAGTGACTTGCTGTGTCTCTTGCTGGGCCACTTCCCCGCTCTGAAAACCTCAGCTTCCCCTCGTGTAAATGGGAGTGAACGGAGTCCCACCCACCCAGCTCACACACGTATCAAGCCGAGGAAACTGTGTACAATTTGAATACGGGTAAGAGAGGTTAGAGTTGAGTCCCTTCTCTACACTTTTGCTTGAGAAACACTCCATTCTACTCCTCTTCCATCAGAATCTTCTTTCCAGTTCTTCCAGGCCTGCCTCTCTTCCAGAGGCTCCCTGACTATTCCGGCCTCACTGACCTCTTGGTCTCTCATCGAGCCCCCGCCCCCCTCACCCCAGGGCTTCCCAAAGCAGGGCCTGGGCCTCTGCCTTCTGCCAGAGCAGCTGACCCTGGGACTAGGAACACAGGAAGGGAAAGGAAGGCCTGGGTGAGACTTGACCTGCCTGATCGGAGTGGGGAACTCACCCCTTTCTCAGGAGGTCAAACACTGGAAGAAAAGAAAAAGAGAAGAAGGTAAGCTGCAGCCAGGCTGGCAGAGTGGGCGAGGGGGCAGGCAACCTTGAGGGAGGGACAGGATGGAGGGCCCATGGTGTGAGAGGAGGTAAACGGGTAAGAGTGGGGTCTACTATGGACCTGCCTCATCTGATACAACATGGACCCCTTTTACAGGGAAAGGGGGGTAACTGAGGCTCAGAAGGGGCAGAAACGTCCCTAAAGGTTCTAACCGATAGGCACGTAGGAGAGGGAGTGGAGACTAAAGCCAGGGCCTCCCGTTTGTAAGCCAGTGCTCATTCCTTCTGCCCCTTTTCCCGTGGCCTCTGGAGCCCAACCATGAACCAGGCACCAGGAACTTAACAGCAACGTTAGCATGCATGGCAAGTATGTTTTCTTGCATGTAATGACTCATTCGCTCCTCGCATCAACCCCATGAGGTGGGTACCATTATTACCTACAGAGCTATCAGATAGGGTCTGGGAGCCCACATCAGGGAGCCTGCTTCTTGAGTCTACTTGGCCCATGGTCTCTCTGACCAGCAGAGCGGGGACTTGGAGATGTCAGTTGGACTCTAACTGGATATTGTGAGCCTGGCTCAGCAGGGCTGGACAAGGGGGTCCAGGGCGGAGAGTGTGTTATTTCCTCCCTGGCCCTCTGAAGGCCGTTTTTCTCCCCGAGGAGCCCGTGGACCGACCCCAGGGAAGCTGCTTTGGGAATGAGCTGGGTCACTCACCCAAATAGAGATTGTCCTCCGCTGGGTCATCCAGGACCTGGTCAGAGGGAGCAGACATGGGGGGAGGGCTTGAGGAGGCATGGGGCGGAAGTGCCAAGCCTCCTCGTCCTCCCCGGCCCCAGCGCCCCCAGGATACTTTGCAGCTCTCCACCGACAGATGCGGCCTCAGGAATCACGGACGCTCACCCTCGGTGAGGCCTCAAGAATATTCCAGATCAACTGAACTGACCCCTGAAGCCTCCTTGCAGTCCCTGTCCCAAGGATGTGGAGGCCTCAGCCACACCTGTCTCTTGGCAGGACCCCTGGGTCTGTGCTGTATGGGACTCGGCACGGGTACCCACCCGCTCACCGCCACCTCCTACCTCAATCAGCTTCACCACATTCACGTGGTCCAGCTTCTTCAGGATGGCGATCTCCTGGTACACCCGCTCCAGGGGTAGCAGCTGCTTGGCTGGTCCTCCCTGGACAGCCTGAGACCCTCTCGGGGGAGGGCGACCTGTGGCCAGGAAGGAGAGGCAGGCCCCAGCTGCAGGAGTCTGGGAGTCTGGGCCTCACTGTCGCCCAGCAGCCAGCCTCAAGCAAAAACTTGCAAGACCATGGTCTTGTCGCCAACCCACCAAGCACATGCCCGCCACCAGGCCTTTGCTCACGCTGTCCCACCTCCACTCCCAGTCCTACCAAACACTAGCTAGGGACTGAGGTCTCCTCCTCCTCTGTCACCCTTTGCCCTCCCCCACAACCCCAGCTAGGGGCCCCCAAGCATAGGACCCAATAGGTACATACGTGGAAAGCCATACTGCTTCAGTAACTTCTTTTTGGAAAGAACTTTCATGGCCTGAGGAGGGAGGGGCAGGCATGTCACTGGTGTGCAGCCACCAGGGGGAAGTCCAGGCTGGTCACATGTGGCACCTGCTGTGCCACTGAGGGTGTGGCTGGGAGTGGTGAAGCCGGGTGAGGAGGTGGCCACATCTGAGTCTGGGCCTTACCCCTCCTCTCCGAAATGCCTTCCTGGAGCCCTCCCCGCAGAGGTAGCAGCCTCTGGCTGCCTGTGACCAGGGTCAAGAAGGTCACTTCCTTTGCATGCCCCTAGGGACCGCGAGTTCATTCCCTTCCGAGACAGCGTGGTCCTCTGTCTTCCCAGCACAGCTCCTGCCCACCCCCCAGGTTCCTCGGCCGGGCTCGGGCGACACCTCCCTCCTGCCCCTTTACTCACATAGTGCCTGTCTTCACTTTCGTTATAGGCCAGCCTCACCACGCCGTAGGCTCCCTGCGAATAGGCCCAGGTCAGCCCCGCTGGGCGGACACCCTCCCCCAGGGCTAGCTCAGGCTAAGGGGAGTCTGAACAGCGCTGGCCCCCTCCTCCTGCATTCTGTCTCCACTCCCACCACCAACGGGCTTAAATTTCAGACAGAGAGGGGGTTCTATGCCCTGGTAACTGCCCCTGCCTGCCTCAATGCCACTCCATGCCCCTCTAGTCTTCCATCAAAGCTCTGAGGAGCCCTGGCCAGTGTGGCTCAGTGTTTGAGCATCATCTCATGTACCGAGAGGTCGCCAGTTTGATTCCCAGTCAGGGCCATATGCCCAGGTTAAGGGCTCAATATCTGGTAGGAGGCATGCAGGAGGCAACCAATCGATGTGTTTTTTTTGTTTTGTTTTTCTCTCTCTCCCTCTCTTTCTAAAAAAAAATAATAATAATAATAATAATAATAATAAAATCAATACAAGCATATTTAAATAAAAAAAATAAAAAAACACAACTCTGGGAGTCAGGAATCAGGACTCATCTCCCATCTGCCCCACCCACACCAGTCATTTCCTACAAGAGACAACACTTTCCTCACCCCCAGGCCTGGGCCTTCCTGTCTGCCTCACATTCCCAGAGGACAAGGGACTGCCCCGAGCAGAGCGCCCTGGCAGCCTGCCTTCGCAAAATCCCGAACTAAACTCCTGCCGCTCCCGGCCAGCCCCAGTCCTACCTTGCCAATCTCACTCTGCAGCTTGTACTGGTTCAACTGTACACAGTCCTGGGGGAGAGGAAGCATCAGGTAAAGCTTGATCCAGAGGCAGCACTGTTCTCACCTCGAGATCCTGTTCAGGGACCAATCCTGGGCCCAGGCCCCTCACTCCCAGACCCCAGGGGTTTTCAGCAACCTTTCCAGTTGGGAGGGCGGAAACGTGGTGGTGACAAGACCACCGAGAGGGACAAGCAGCCTCAGGAATGGGGAGCAGTGGCTGATTCCCGCCTGGACGCCGAGGTCTGGGAGACCCACGTCTGTAAGGAAGCCATGAGCAAGCATCCCCAGGGGCGCTGAATGGGAGGTCTGGATTGCACGAACAAGGATGAGAAGGGGGACAAGAGGCCGGAGCCCTCGCTCAGGCAGAAAAGGCTCAGCCCCTGGAGGATACGGATGGCTCCGTCCTCAGGTTCACGTTCAGATCTAAGTGGCAAGGACAGAGCCGGGGGGGTGGGGGGGAGGAGGGGGGAGCCCAGAGCCTGGCGGCTTCTGAGTCAGAATAGACTCCAGAAGGCAGGACTCCAGGTGGGGTTCAAGCTGGGGAAGCCTCGGGGTTGGGAGGACGCTGTGTCTGTCCTCAGATCTCTCAGAGGGCTTCTCGGGGGACAGGGGCGGGTTGACTCCCAGAGCCGGGACTGGGCGGGGCTGGGGAGGGTGGGGTGTATGGATTGCAGAGGTTGGCTCAGTTGGGGCTTCCCTGGGTGGGAAGAGGCCTTATGGTGAGGTAGTGAGCTCCTCCACTCTGAGGGTATGCAAAACCAAACGCTACCCCAGGGAAAGTCACGGAGGACTGCCGAAAAGCTCGTGAGCGCCCCCCAGCGCTGCCCCACCGACCTCTGCATCCGAGATGGCCACGTGGTGGGACTCGATGGTGGGCCTCCGCCAGGCCCGCGGGGAGATGTGGCTGGCAGGCCCCGTGGTGTAAGGCCCAGCCTGGGCCTCCAGGCAGCTTCCCGCCGGCCGCTCCTGCAGGGACAGCTTCCTGGTGGAGAGGCTGGGTCGGGGCAGGGGGAGTCCTGAGGTGCTGCCCGGGATCACGGAGGCCGCTCTAGGCCGTGGTGGGGGCTCCACACCGTTCCTGGCAGGCCCGGGGCCACCGTCCGCCTCCTCCAAGCGGGCCACATCAATGGCTGCCACTCGCTCCACCAGCTCTGCCCGAGGATCCTGGCAGCAGACTGCGGGCCCCCCCTCCATGGCCACGGTCAAGGGGGTCCTCCGTGCAGCCTTACTGGGAACCTGAGAAATGAGGGCGGAAAAGGCTTCAGTTCCGGCCATGGAGCCAGGAGGCCAGATTTCTAGGCCCTTCTCCCATTGTAGCCACAACCCTAGGAGTCCCACCTCCATTCCTATTCCCTCTGCCTGGACCCCTCCCCACACACTGGAGGATTTCCAGGAACTCATCTGGCTCTGCTGCACACCAGCCTTCTGGACCTCAGCGTTCCCACCCGAAAAACAGGCGCATTCGTGTCCGCCTTGCTGGCTTCCCAGGGAAGCAGGGAGGATCTGATGGTCTGGAGTCCGGACAGACGGACGCGGGCAGAACCCCGGAGGCCCAGCAGCCTCGGGAGGAGAGTGCAGGGTCAGCTGAGGCCGGCATCCAGCCGACAGCCCAGTGACTCACCAGCCTCACCCCTCGACAGTAGACAGAAGAGCATTCCAAGGCTGCTGCCCGGAAGCTGAGCTGGGCGCTGGCAAATGCAGGGGCCCACTCACCTCCTCCAGGGAGGCCTCGTGGATATTCGAGCCCCTCACCCTCACCCCTCACCCTGGGGCTCCAGCCTCTCTCGTTCCTGCTGAGAGGCCTCTCCAGGGCCACAGGGCAAGGCTCCCATCAGCCCCTTCTCCGGCCCCGCAGAGCCTGAGGCCCAGAACAGGGCCCATCAGGGGAGGGGCTGCTGCTTTAGTGGCTGTCCAGAGACTTCACTTATTTTTCCAGTTTATTTGTGTGGCCACAATGTGTGCCATCTGTTCAGGCTGAGATGCTCCTCCTGGCCCGGCCTTACCCCTTTCCTGGCCCTCCTGCCGTCTGGGCCCCAAACCAGGCCAGAGGTCAAGAACCTGAACCCCGAATCAACCTCCAATCTCCAGCCCTCGTCCTTACCCTTGACCACAGTCCTGGGCTGCAGCTGGACCCCAAGCTGAATGCTGCAGACACTCAGGCTGGGGCTCCATTTCCTCCTCAGGCCAAGCACCGGCCCCACCCCAGCTCGACGCCCCACCCCCTTCCTGGGCCAAGCAGAGGCATCTTGTCAAGAATAGGAAGTGAGTGACCCCCGACCCTCTGCCCTTCCTGTTTGGCGGTAACTTCCTCTGACCCAGCAGAGCAACTTGGAGAACACGGGTCTCGCTGTTTCACCCCCTCATTCCCCTCCCCGTCACCTTGCTTTGACAGCTGTCAAGGAGGCAGAGCTCACCGGAGTCCACTGGCCACAGAGGAGCCCGGGCTGGCTTCCAGTCCCTCTTGCCAAGCTCCTGTGGGGCCGTGGGCAGGCTCCCTCCTGACTCAGAGCCTCAGTCTCTCCGTCTGTACCAGGGATGCAGACCTTCCCTTCCCAGATTCCCTAGGGACACAGCAAGGCTTGGGAAAGGATCGTGGGTAAGGGGGCACCCCAGAGCCCTGTGCCTGGCACACCGTGTGGGGTGAGTGGAAGCCTGGAGGAGGCGGAGCTGCTGTTGACATGCGGAAAGGAAGGGGGAAGGGAACCAGGCTGGTAACAGGCAGAGAGGAGGCTGCACTTGGAGGAGGGAGTGTGTGTGTGTTGGGGGGAGGTGCAGAGGAGGGGGTTTGGGGGAGGGGGGTGCTGATGAGGCTAGAGGCCCAGGTCTCCCTGGAGGAGATGAGGAAGGAGAAGAGCTGGAGCATCAGGGAGGCTCGCTGGAAGAGCAGAGAAGGAATGAGTGAGTAGTCGGGACATGAGAGGCCTTCCTGGAGGAAGTGAAGGGGGGGCAGTGAATGGGGCTCCAGTATCAGGGAGGCTTTGGGAACCAGGCTCTTTACAGGAAGGAAGAAGCCAACGTTGAAGGGAGCTCCCCAAGCCTGTCCCCCTCGCTCTGCGGGCCCCCTTCCTCCCATCCACCAGAACACAAACTCCATACGCCGAGGCTCTTGTCTGCCTTGTCTCCATAAAATCATGGGTGTCTGCAGCAGTGCCTGGCACAGAGCGGGCGCTTGGCAAGTATCTGCTGAATGAATGAATGAATGAATGGTTGCCATAGTGATCATGACAGCCCCATCCCCATTTGATGGGGAAACAGCCTCGGAGAAGGGACCCCAACCAACCGAAGGCCCCAGCCCACAATAGGGAGTGAATGGGTGTCAGGAGTCCCTGCCCTCTGGACCAGGGCAGGCACCATGGGACAGAGCCCCCACCGGCAGAGGGCAAAGGTGGCCCTCGCCCATACAATTTGCATGATGTTCCCGAGGGAGGCTGTTGTCCCAGCCTGAGGCCATCCTGCGTCATCTCCCTTTCCCTTTTCTGGGAGGGGAAAGAGGCCCAGCAAGGATCAGGGATGGCCCTGGGGTCACACAGCCAGTCAGGGCAGAGCCTTCTGGCCTCGGCCTGGGGCCTGGACCCGGTTTAGGCTCCGCACCTTCTTGGCTGCAAGCCCAGGGGCCGGGGCCTGCACCATGAGCCTGGGTTTTCCTCTCCTGCACCATGGGGGGACGCGCCGTCCCAGCTCCCCGAGCCGGAGGCTGTGAGGAGGGGGAGTGAACGCCATGCGGGGCTCAGAGCGGGGCCTGCCACGGAGGAAGCCCCGTAAAAGCGAGTTGTGCTGCTGCTGCTGCTGTTGTGATGGCCTGGCACACGCTGTCGCCCAGATGGATGCGCGGGCGGCACGGGGCGGCTGTGAGGGCTGACGTCAGGCCCTCCACGCTCCCTCCCGCCTGGATCACATTCAGGTGACTAAGCATGTCTGTGCAGGAGGAGGCCCGGGAGGGAGGCCCCGGGTTCCTGCCTCGTGTCCAGGCGACAGGGCCTGGCGCCCTAGCCTGTGCATGTGAGGGCACGTGTCCACACGTGAGACGATGTGCACGAGCAGGGCTGTGGGCCTGGGGCGACAGCATGTGTCTGTGTGTGTGTGGGGGGGGGGGGGGGTTGGGGACCCACACGTAGGCACGCATTTGCATAGAGACAGAAATCCATCAGTGCGGTCTGTATGGGTGTGTGACCACGTGCCCCGTGGGGTCCATGGGAACCTGAGCACAGGTCACATTTGAACTTCCCACACCGTCACCTGCTCGCCATCCTGAGGCTGCCGGCTGGGCTGGGCTGTGTGTCTTGGGCAGGGCCCAGGTCTCACTGGGGGATCCCTAAGGGGTCTCTCCATGCCCGCCCCAACCTTGGGCCCTGAAAGATGCTTTGTAGCAACGGATTCGGCAGATAACTAGGGACACCACACGGGCAAAGAGACACACAAGAGTGGCTGGGACCCAGGCCCAGGTCAGAGCAAGGACTCCTCTGGGTACGTGGAGCCTCCCGGGGTCCAGCCGAGGCCCGCAGCTGCGAATGGTCAGGCTCAGGCCTTCACGCACTGGGAAAAGCTACCCCAATCCTGTCCTCACAGGCTGGGGCTGTGCTGTCTTAAGTCACTGAGGGTGTTAGAGCCTCAGTTTCCTCATATGTGAACCAGATGGATGGCTCCCATCCTGCCAACTCCCGCAGCTATAGAAGGAGGTGGAAATGAAGCAGTTTGTGCCCGGGCAACGTGGCACTGGGATGTGTTGCTGTCAGGAAGCCACCACAAGAGCCTCTTCTCCGTCCCCTGGCTCTGGCAAGGCCTGGCCCATTGCCCCCATCAGGAAATGCCCCCACCCCCCAGGTGTCTGGCTATTCCCAAGGGATGCAGACTCTGGCTCCAGATCCTGCTTGGCCAAACCTCCTCCTAAGGATGAGTCCCATCCACCCGGGTCCCCGAGAGAAGGCCCAGAGCAGGACAGAGCAGGCAGCTCCCACCCTCATCACAGCTGGGTAAGCAGCGCTGGCTGGGACGGCCTCAGTCTGAGTCCTGGAAGGCTGTGGTGGACGCCAGGGCCAGGTTGAGCAGGGGACCAGCTGCGATCCAGAGAGCACAGGGCCTTGATGGGCAGACGACTAGCCAGATGGGAAAGATATGAGGAGGCGGACTAGCCACCCGGAACAGACACAGAAGGTGGCCCCGACATTGTCCGCCCGAGCCGTGTTTATGCTCCTGACGAGTGTTTGGATGGCCCCAGAACGGGTGCCCTTGGCGGCTCCCGCTCCCCGCCTCTGCCTGGGATGACTCACTCCCCTCGAGGGAGGCCCGGGCGTCATCGGCTGCCAAGTCATGCTTGAGGATGCCTGCGGCGAGGACACCCCCTTGCACCGTCCCCGGGGAGGCCCCACGCACCAAGGTGGGCTCTGCCCGAGGCTGCACAGCAACCCTCAGCGCAGCCGCAGTGCTCTCGGCTGATGGTGTCCAGACCTCACCCTCTGCCAGTGCACCTCCTCCAGCCCCGCTCTCCTCAACCAGCTGTCTCCTCCCCTCCATGCTCCTGGGCCTCTCAGACTCCACAGGGCCCCGATGTAACTCGGCATGTCCCCCAAGTCTGCCCTTTCTCCTCTGTTCCCATTGCAGTGATGGCACTGCCACCCTCCCAGTTCTCCCAGGCCAGGAACCCAGGAGCCCTCCCCATCACCCACCTTCTTCCTTGCGCCCCCCACCCCAACTCAAGCTCCACTCTGGCCACACCATGCTACCCCCAGCTTCCTGAACGGCAGCCCGGGCTCTGCTGCCAGGCCTTTGAACAAGCTGTGCCTTCTGCCAGCAGCACACCTCCCCTCCTTTGTTGCCGGAGGACAACTCGGACATGTCCCCTGGGTGTCCTCCCTCCCGAATCTCCCCACTGCGGGGGGGAGGAGGTCACCAAGGTGATTCTCTCTAAAAACCCAGAGCCAGCCTCCACTTCCTTTCCCAACCGCTTCGGCCACACAGGTCTCCCCACTCTAGGCTCACATCCTGACCGAACCCCATCCCATCCTCCGCACCAGTTCCTAGAGGGAACATCTCTATCATGCAAATACTAGTGGCCCCAGTGCACAAATGCGTGCACATTGAAAGGAAATGAATTGAAGAGATGTTTTAATATCGCTATTCGCCCTTTCTATAAGTGTCAACCAAATTCACAATCGACAATGACAGATGGAAACACATGCATATTATTGGTGCCAGCA